TTAAACGGGAGTGGAGACCGAAATTTATCACCACAATTTACAAAAATGTAATATCCGACATAAGTTACCAGTCTGGTTTCGGTGGTATTCTTAAAGTCAGTTCAACAATATCTGATAATATTAATGACGAGAGGAATAAGTGCGACATTATTGTAAGGTACAGTATAATTCATTATTTGGTTCTACAGTATCTTGTGTACACTTATTTGCATACATGGCACAGAGCTTCACTTAATATTCAATACAACTATTAAAACCAACCTAGCAGGGATCTTACCACTGTGCTGCCGTTAGGTTATTGATTCTAGACCCATAAAATATAGAGATTAAAATGTCGTTTTTTCTTTCAAAAACTAATTTGAACCCTGTTTGTCTCTTAAACTTATTATATATGCTTATAGAATTGAAAATGGAAGTTTAACACAAGGAAATCGTCCAGTGTCTTCGATCACTTTAGATTTGCCATAGTCGCCTCCTTGAGCTTCAATCTTTAGGTCCTTAATATTACTGACGAGGTGAATAAGATCGAAACTGTTGTAAGGTGCAGTTTACTTCTCTATTTGGCTCTACAGTATGTAACCTCTCCTTATTCAAGGATTGCAGCCTTACTTTTTTGAGGAGCGACAAGCCCACCATCCACCCTTTTGTATATTTCTTATGTATATTCTATAAAGTCGTGTGTGTGGGTATACACTCATTTGCAAACATGGTACACAGTTTCACTAAAAACATCATACAACTAATAAAACCCAATAAAACCAACCTGTCGAGAGGTATTCATGTTTAGAATAATAAATTATGTAGCAATATTTTCACTAAAAAGCTGAAATATGGTGAAATTTTGAAGCTATTTGGTTCATTTGCAACTATATTTATTTTTATGGGGTATTATGGGTTACGTCCCCTTAGCGCTAGTCGAGGCGAAGGCACGTGAGCGCACAGGTAGAATGGGGTCAGTCATGGATGAGTGATTTTATCAGACGTGGACTCGGAGACCCGTGCAGCCATGATTATATAGGTATATGTTGTAGCCTTCATATATGTTACACATCTGCTAGTCTGAATAGTACGGTACAGATCAGGCTCAATTTGAATTTAAATCCATGATAGCATAAATTAAAGTCAACAATATCTGTTCAATAAAAAAAAAAAATCACATTTTATCATATGAGTGCATAGAGTCAGTTATTTCAAAGGACGCGCCACTAAAACCCCTGTAGTTTACCTGGACAGGTGTGAACTATACTCTTCTTTTAACCAAGTCTTGAAAGACAGCTATGTCAGGTAAAATCTGAAACGTATTTCTAGTAAGTATTTCAAATGCAAGAAAATGCATGCTTTCATCTATTTTGATGCTTGATTATGAAACGTGTTAATTATAACATATAAACTGATTTGTTCTGTACGACAATTGCATTATGTAATATTTTGAATTGAATACATAATGTACTGTATCAATTACAATTAATTAGTGTTGCTGTCTTCATATACCATTTTTTCTTACTTAGAGTCTTTTAAAAACAAAATGCGAGTTTGAGCTATTCATAACTGAAATATCTGAACCATGATACGAATTAATCTTGGAATGACCTTTAAATGAGCTATTATAGAGTTGAGCTGACCTTTGAGTATTGCATGGACCTTTAAATATTGCATTATATTGTTACATATACCCTGTGGTCAATATACCCTTATATCTCAAACGTCAACACCTGTGTTTATATGTAATACATGATAGAAATACGTGTCGGTCACGTAGAGATTAATACCGTTAAGTAATTCTTCTGGTCCATTGTCTTGATCTGTTAAGATGTTGAATAATATAGGACCAATGTATAAATTCGACAGAGAGTTTGGTGATTCTCAGTCGATACTTGGGGTTGTCTACTCAACAGTATACACCCTACACTACATTAATAGAACAACATCAACACCCTACAACGCTTTTGGATTGTCATTGCCTGTAAACATTAACAACTACAAAAACTTCATCTACACTACAAGAAGAAAATGATATAATATTTTATATCACCCTATATTGCAGGTCGTCATTTGTAAATCTGTGGCACTAGAAAATGTCATTAATTTTCCGTTTGACCAATGTTACAGGATGGTCGAATCAATATAGCTGTACTAGTTATATATATATATCTTGATAGTATCTAGGCAGTAACATTATATATATGTATCGTTATGGATACTACAATATAGATTTTTTTTCTGTCTCATCAGTAATTGATGCTTAATACACATTGGTAGTAACAATGCAGTTACATTGTATATGTATATGTATATAGTACGTAATATCGACGGTATGGTCCAATATTGGTACTGGATCCTGACAAACAAATGTTCGCTGGATGCGTATTACTAGAATTGTTATATGATCAATGAAGTAATAGCAACAGTACGGACAAGCGAATTGTCAAATTTTCGAGGCAACCTGCCCCTTTATCAAGACACATATATTACATAAATTACATCACATACATAGAACATAAAACAAATACAAAGTTATAAATCTAAATCGAGAGCAGTGGTGATAATTAAGATGTCTCAATAATCCCTTCGGCCGATGGACGCCGAAGGCCCTTTATAGCGGACAGAATACATCCCAAGATGTTGTATGTAAGATAGTGATTAAGAAATCATTTTTTTTTAAATAAATCGAGGTATGTTTTGCACTCTTGATACTGAACATATATGTGATCGCAACGAAAACAAATGCACGTCACACTCCGAGGACAATAAGTCTACCGGTACATCTCAATAAGGAATGGTTTGATAAAAAATAAGAAAATTTATTGTAAAAATGGTAAATATATGTGTAGTTACAATAAAAAGTAATTTGATAAAAAAAACACTAGTTAAATGCAAAAAATATACATCAAAAATATAATTTCGAATATGGTCAAATAGTCCCCAAAATCGTCAACTCGCCCAACTCCAAAAATCGACCCATAAAATTTATCTACTTCCGGACTAGAGTAAATAAACGGTGTCAATCTCAAAACGGAAGGAAAGCTGATGTAGTAACTAAACAAAAATGCAATAAATTGAGCAAGTAAGTTTATTCGGGAAAAAAAATAATAAAAAAAGTAGAATGTTTTCAGTTTTATGGGGCGACTTCTGTTTTACGATTTACAAATCAGTAGTATTATGGAATTCAAATGGTTAAATAACGGACGCAAAGTATTGATAGAAACTGGTGTAAATTTTTTTGGGATTATCAAAAAAACATGTACATGTAAGCGAGATTATATAAAATTTATTGTAAAGTAAAGATTACAAGATCAGTTTATTAAAAAATGCTTTCATGATATTGAAAATTCCCCTCGTGAAATACAAATTCTATAATGAAGTCAAATTTCGAGATGGAAAAATACTTTTCGAAACTAAAACCAAGAGAAAGACAGATCGTTGTTTTAGAACGTCAAATACAAATCTACATGTGGAAACCGAATCAAAAGAATTAGAGATATATCTATTCCAAATTATTATTGTGTGAAGACTAGTCTTAGTAAAGTGCATGGATTATTCTCAATTTGCAAGTTTTATCGAATAAAAACAAATTTCTTGAAAAATTTGAAAAAACGTCTAGTTGCACGTATTTAATTGTCCGCCATTTGAAGAATTGCCATCAATTTTGACTTCTTGGAATGTTTATCTACAAAACGATATTAATACTTTACTGAAATGCCGCTATATAATATAAAGTAAAAAAGCGTCCACCTGGAGCGAGAAATCCACGAATGCGCGACGCGGTATATCCTCAATAGCTGCATTTGACTGCGTCAAATCAATGTTTTCGGTACGACTTTGGGTTCTCATATCGTTCTCAAATCATACTTATTTATTACTTATCACACAATGAATCATTAAGTAATAGATAAATGATAAATAATTGAGTTTACAAAGTTTAGTGGCCTGGTCTTGCAACGTCTGTTGAAGCGTTGAAACGAACATTGGACTGGAATGTCACGTGGAGTTGCGGTATGCACGCCTCGGCCTATGCAGGTGCTTTACTAAAGACGAACGATGGACTGGATGGGGTAGGATGTACTTATCGGGTAAGGCCAATGACCTTGCCCTTGTCCACATCCAGTTGGGGTGACTGGCCACAAGATGGCCATTGCTTTTAAACAAATGGCTGTGGCTGATCGGTTACAACAGGCTATGAGTTGTCTTTGTGTGGGTATACACTGAACATTTTTTCATAAAGACGAATAGTTCAACATGATAGCAAAATGTCAGAGACGTATCCATTCGGAACTAACATACATAATCGTATAAAGTTGCATTTCTTGGTGGAGTTGTTCAAAACCGAACATAGCAATTCACCATCTTATGACGTCATTTATTTCCATAAGAAACACTCAAAGGAAGGATGCAATGCAAAGAATGTTTTTTGTTTTGTTTTGTTTTTAATGTTTTGTATTAATTCAACGATGATAAAATAATTTGTAAACAGTCTGAAATGTACATATTAGTATTTTTATTGTCCGAACAGACGTCGTTCGTTTATTAAGTAAAGCACACTGACTGGAACCCAATATTTATATCAACGGTCTTGGTGTCGTTCATGTTACAATCCTAGCGATGTTACTTACAAAACATTATATCTGTTTCTTCATTCTCTACAGAATACAATTTTGAAACAAAACTGTAAAAGAACAATCGAGACTTCTGAAAATCAACTATATGGTGAAATCAAACCATTTTCTATAAACGTATTTGACAAGTTTACTTAAATCAAAAGGTATTATAAAACGTATACATTATAAGGTATCATTCGAAATCAGAGCAAAACCAATACAAGGATTGGATAATCCTTCCTCGATAGAACAGTAAACCTGACTAAACCCAGTTACATATGTAGTCATAGCCAACAGAACGTGTTTAGACTGTGTTAAGTCATGCATGACACATAAACGTCCCATTAACGACTCGAGTCGATATAGGCAAATTTGACCTATATATACACCACAAACACAGGTACAATGTCGCTGTCATCTTTACTGTCTCTATCTACACTGTTAAAGTGTCTTGTTGTATTCTTTATCACGTTCATCCTGCTTCGGAAACATTTCTCAAAACGTGCAAAGCTTCCTCCGGGACCTGCTGGCCTGCCATTAATCGGCAGTGTGTTAATGCTGAGAAATGAGACTCCATCGGAGCTATACAACAGGCTGTACAGACAATATGGCGACATATTTAGTATACGGATGGGGTCAAAGTTATTCGTAGTCATTAATGGATTCAAATCTCTGCATGAAGTATTTGTAAAGCGTTCTGATGTCTTCACTGACCGTCCTAATATGTATCTTTTTTCCGTTCTCAACAAAGAAAATGGTAAGTGCGTAATTAATAAAATTAACAGGTAATTGATTCTGGGTAGTAGTACAGTTTCTAGCCTTGGGATGTAAGTAGCGGGTACAATTTCTAACCTTAGGTTGTACGTAGTAGATACCGTTTCTAGCCTTTGTGTGTAAGTAGCGGGTACGGTTTCTAGCCTTGGGATGTAACGGGGTACGGTTTCTAGCCTTAGGTTGTATGTAGCTGTTACGGTTTCTAGCCTTGGGGTGTAAGTAGCAGGTACGGCTTCTAGTCTTAGGGTGTACGTAGCAGTTACGGTTTCTAGCCGTGAGGTGTAAGTAGCGGGTACGGTTTCTAGCCTTAGGGTGTACGTAGCAGCTACGGTTCCGAGCCTTGGGGTGTAAGTATCGGTTACGGTTTACAGCCTCAGGGTGTACGTAGCAGGTACGGTTTCTAGTCTTAGGGTGTACGCAACAGTTACGGTTTCTAGCCGTGGGGTGTAAGTAGCGGGTACGGTTTCTAGCCTTACGGTGTAAGTAGCGAGTACGGTTTCTAGCCTTGGGGTGTACGTAGCCGGTATGGTTTCTAGCCTTGGAGTGTACGTAGCCGGTATGGTTTCTAGCCTTAGGGTGTAGATAGCGGGTACGGTTTCTAGCCTTGGGGTGTAGGTAGCGGGTACGGTTTCTAGCCTTGGGGTGTAAGTAGAGGCTACGGTTTCTAGCCTTGGGGTGTACGTAGAGGCTACGGTTTCTAGCCTTGGGGTGTACGTAGCGGGTACAGTTTCTAGCCTTTGGGTGTAAGTAGCCGGTATGGTTTCTAGCCTTAGGGTGTACGTAGCAGGTATGGTTTCTAGCCTTGGGGTGTAAGTAGCCAGTATGGTTTCTAGCCTTGGGGTGTACGTAGCAGGTACGGTTTCCAGCGTTAGGGTGTAAGTAGTAGTTACGGTTTCTAGCCTTAGGGTGTAAGTAGCGGGTACGATTTCTAGCCTTGGGTGTAGGTAGAGGCTACGGTTTCTAGCCTTGGGATGTACGTAGCAGGTATGGTTTCTAGCCTTGGGGTGTAAGTAGCGAGTAAAGTTTCTAGGTAGTGAGTGGGATAGTTTCTACCTTTGAAGTAGCGTGAATGGTTTCTATGGTCTTGAGGAAGCATGTATAGTTTCTAGTCTTGTGGTCGCTGGTACAGTTTCCTATCCTGAGGACGGTTTCTACCCTTGGGATAGCGGTTAGCTTCTAGTTTTGAGGTATAGCGGTATGGGTTCAACTTTATTTACTGACTAACGGTCAACGTGTACAAATGACATATACTTGTAGGATAAACTTGCCGTTTTCTTCAGATTTATAGGATGGTAAGCTCTGTTGTCTTGCGACAACCATTGACATCTGCCACGATGTACATGTATACAAGACACAAGTTCCTTGTAACAAAACTGATATGCTCCAGTACTGAACTGTTTATCCTACCAAGAACCTTAAATATTGTAATATACCATAGAATTGTTACCATATCTTCATACTTAGAGACAAGACATGACACTATCTTGGATACATTTCAGGTGTCGTGGCAAGCTCTGGGGAAATGTGGAGACGTACTAGAACATTTACATTAACTACTTTAAAAAAGTTCGGATTTGGAAAGTCGTCTTTTGAGAATGCGATTAAGGACGAAATTGATGTATTTCTCGATGTCCTTCAAAGTAAATGTGGAAAACCATTTGACTTGAAGTCCAGTTTGATGAAAAGTGTAGCCAATGTAATCTGTAGCATAACTCTTGGCAGCAGGTTCGATCATGACGACCAAAGGTTACACGAACTTGTTAAGAGTACTATGACCACAGCAGAAATAAATGCATCCGTTGGAATAATCAGCGTTTTCCCAATCATGCGATATGTGCCAGGCGACTTACTACACATAAACATTTTTAAAAACAACTTGTTTTCTATTTGGGAACTCTTTCAAGAATGTATTGATAAACAAAAACTGACTTTAACAGAGGGCGTGACCCGTAATTTCATCGATGCCTTTGTTCACGAACAACGTCGGGCAGGCGAATCAGACACTGTTTTTACAGGTAAAGTTACAAATGTTTCGGACTAGTTTGATTTTATGTAAGTAATTTAGGTAAGTATTTTATATATTTGTTCTGTAGTCTTAATGTAATTGGACTGATTATTACTTAGATAAATGACTTCTGTGATATTCACGCTCACAAATTAACGAGTTTTATGGCTAGGAAAGCAAAAGTTTCAAGTTTCTTTTTTTCCACAAACAATTCAGCACAAAGTAAGCAATAATCAATGATTATTGAGAGTACATCAAATGTCCAAGATGGCGGACAGCAACTCCATATATATATATGTATATGTATATACTTTGATCCTTACATGCGTTTCCTTGTGAAAAGCGACACCAACATCAGTTATTTATTAGATTCGTTTGAATCCTTTTATTTCAGACGACAACTTATTGCTTTGTCTGTCAGATCTCTTCTTGGCTGGAACAGAAACTTCATCTACAGTTTTAACATGGGCGTCCATCTTCTTGATTCGCCATCCCGAAGTGCAAGGAAAGATGAGGTCAGAGATATCCCGAGTGACTGGTGATGCCCGCGCACCATGTCTCAGCGATAGACCAAACATGCCCTATTCTGAGGCGGTCATCACTGAGGCACTTCGGTGTGGGAATGTGCTTCCCTTGTCCTTGCCACACACCGTTTCAAAAGATACCGTTGTTGATGGATACACCATTCCGAAGGGAGTGTTTGTTATCCCAAATGTTGGATCTGTTTTGAATGACCCTCGTGAATTCGAAAACCCAGAAATGTTTGACCCTGAGCGGTTCATCGACACTGATGGGAATCTCAGAGGACACGAGAAAGTCGCATTGACCTTTTCGTTAGGTAATATGAAATGTCTTACATTTCAAGTCTTCCAGATCATAATATCAAACTTTAGAAATCACAAAATGACTTTTGTCATACGCTGTTATTTTCAGCTACATTTTAACATAGACATTCTAATTTTAAGAAATGCTATACCATTCATGGATTTATACTTGCAACACACAATATTAGTTTGTACTCATACAAAAGACATTGAAATATAGGGGCAGTCATGTTTTTTGTTTGCTTGTTTGCCTTTGTTTTAGAATTGTGTGTGTATATAAATATTCCAAACACCTTTTTTTAATTAGACAATTTGCCACTAGGTCATGTCGAGTAAATTCCATCTGTCTATCATTACAACTTTCAAACATCCTTTTTTGGGGTTGTCGTAGTGGTGGTTAGGCAGTCTGGAATTTCTTGGCATGGCGTAGATCGTGAGTTCGAGGCCTGGACAGGGCACGAGTCAAAATTTGTGTTCCTTCTTTAATTGGTTTAAAAAGAAAGAGATAGTTTACTTACGAACATTAGGAAAAACAAAACTTAAAAAAAAAAAAAAAAAAAAGAAGAAGAAAAATTATAGAATTAGCAAAAAAATCTGACGACAAAGTTACTACACCAAGCGGTTGCCGTTATTTGTTTAGTACATACAAGTAACCATACAAAAACACTCGTCTGTTGTCAGATATACATTTTCTGTTGTAGGTAAACGTGTGTGTATGGGAGAACCAATGGCAAGAATACAACTCTTCTTGATTTTGACGTCATTGGTTCAAAGATTTGAACTACTTCCGGAGCACGAAGATTGTCTACCTTCCCTTGATAGAATTGAGGGTATGGTGAACACCCCACAAAACCCATTCATACGCGTTAGAGCTGTTGGTTCCGTATAAAGTCAAATTCAAGTTTCAGGAATTTTCAATACACACACATGTGGCTGATGTTGAAAATGGTTTACAATGGAGGCAAGTACATGTATGACGTTCTATACATGGAAAGAAAACCTCGGCCTTAAACTACACATAAGATAGAGTATACGATGTAGGGAAATTCAATCATATTGCTGTCGGGGATTACAATTTCAAAATTATCCTTATCATTCAGTTGTGACCAACCGACAAAAAATAATAAAAAATGTATGTTATGTCTTATTTTTGAATATAAAAGTAAATCTTAATTGATGATATATAAACACCATGTAAGTGTTGTTGTCATATTTAAATATTGATGTATTGCTGAACGTGAAATGAAAATTTTGCAAATTACTTCATTCTCAAGAAACATCGAAAATAAGACATTTTACCCCGAACATGTCACTTGTGGAGGAGGAAAAGGAAGCTCATCTGATATTTTACATCTCCTTTTTATATGACTGTAACAAAATCTGAGGCAAGTAGAAAAAGCCTAAAAGCCTTTGTAGCAATTTCCCAAAAACTGAAGGTTCTGACCAAACAAATACATAAAGTAATACATACATGTAATCCATTTGTTTTTGTTTGTTTGTTTTCAGATGAACCTATTACAATAAAGCTTTTCCGTGTTTGATTGGAATAGCACGTGCATATTGTCAGTCTCAACTTCACGCACTATACTTTTCAGCTTCCCAGATTACCTAACTGTTGTTTGACAATAAAATCTATAAAATATTTTGTAAACGGTGGAATTTTGAAGCGTTCACTTTTATGATCTCACTATATACAAACTTTAGGTTTGATTAAAGAATGCCTAGAGCGACGTGTTGACTCCGCCGCCGCCGACGTCATTAGCGGAAAACGACACCATATAATAGTCTCGCTTTTCGTGACTTCGTCCCAGGTGAGACAACAAAACTGGCAAATGCAGATACCATTTACCTGCTTTTGGTAGCAATCAAACGGCAAGTAAAACAGAAATATAGCACTTAAAGAAGGTTTATACATGATTTTGTCCTGCAACTGGCACCGCCATTGTCGGAATACACCTGCCACATATATTATTGATGTATTCTGCAGTGACGGAAAACAGCTCTATTTAGTACGTGCGGTAATCCCACAGAGATGATCTCTAAATTTACTTCAACATTACGTTTAGAAATATAAATAATTGTTGAATAAGCGATTTTACATGTTGTATTGAACAAGTCGATGTATGAAAAGTAATAAAATCGCTGTTTTATCCGATGAAGTTTGGAACTATGCTTTCCTGCGGAGCAATTATTTTGGCGTCGGTCATCAGGCGATATTCAGCATAACGTCAATGTCAGGTAAACACAGATTGAACTACAAAACTATTTCAGTAGTCTGATTTTCAATCAATGTTGTAGGACTGATAGAATAACATGGTCAGTGTCTTGCCAGAGGCTCTCCTCTTTTGTCTTTCTTCACCCTCGCCAAAATACAGTTTATATTTTAAAACACTGACCATGTATTCTCTGTATATCGACCACAGAAAAAATGTAGACGGGGGATGAAGTCGATGTAACCATGTTTCGTCCGAAATTATGATGTCGTGATCGGTTTATATTTTTTCTCGATTTTGTTTGAGATGGTGAAGCGGGATGCGTGGAAAGTTGCAAATTTGTCAAACTACAATACACGTGGTATTTATTTCAAGAAGATAACTATCCGGATAATGCTCGTGTAAGTATATTAAAGTGATTTTGGAGGTAAAATGTTTAAACAACGATACATTGGTTTTGCGATAAGATTGTAGTGTTAAGGTCCCGAGAAGAGTTTCACATTGCTCGTAGTCATAAGATGAATCATATAAATAGTTCCACTGTGGTTTTATTTGTTTCCTTTATCAGCTTTAGTTTTGACAAGCCAGGAAACTTATTTGTCAAAATGTTATCCTTGGCAATGAGTCTGAATCAGCGAAATGTTTGTTTCAAGGACTCAGAAACACTGAGCGCGCCTGTGAGCAATAAAGCAATGCATGCTGTCTGCACGATGTACATGTATGCGCGAATTATGCATAATAGGAACACTGGACTCAAATAGCGATCACACATCTGTACAAAAGTACAGCTAATTATGTTTATTAATCAAGCCATATTTATAGGTTAGACACGCGTAGATCTATCAGAATCGTTATACAAATGTACGCGATCGCCTTTTGTCCGCCGTCCGATTTCAATGAAATTTTACAAAATCCTTCAATGGCTAAAGGTCCACCTAAATCATAAATTATGTGGTCCCCAACCCCCAAGAGGCGTTAGGGTCGGGACCAGGAGAGGTCAAATTCATCGAAATTTCAAAAATCTTCTTCTCAAATCTCAGATATGGTAGAATCAAATACTCTGCATGGATTGAAAGGCCTTCGAATGCTTTACCAAAATGGTAAACTGTATGACCACAGGTTCTCACATTTCCCCTTGGGGTGGAGGAGAAATTCATCCCAGTTTATATAGTAAAATTAAATTTTTGAGCGTAATTTGTTTATTTTCTTTCAGAAATAGTTCAAACTCGGTTAGAAATATTAGTATAGGATGATAGTATAATCAGATGCACATAGTGAACTTGAATGACCCCCCCCCCCGGGGGCTGATTGGCGTAGCAAAAATAGGGTTAAAAGCATTAACTGAGGTGACCATTAAGGCCCTTGGGCCTTTTGTTTGTCGCTGATCTGAGAAATACTAATCGATGAAGAGAAAAATGAAAATTGTTCGTAGCGTAACATTTTGCTTTTTATAATATGTATTATTTTTATATTTAGCAGCGATTAACACTTGTTATGAATAGTAACACCCCGGCTAGCTCAATCGGTAGAAACATAAAACAAGAAGAGGGTACTGATAGGGAAGAGAATGATGACGTCATCACGGGAGATGGGGAAGAGGTCGAGGGCGATAATGAGGATGAGGAAAGAGGACATGTACTGTGTAGAGGGTACATGTATCAGGGATCGGAGGACGAAATGACGGCAAGTGATCTTTTTGGACGATCGGACATGGATGAAAGAACATTTTAGTAAACGACACCAATTTTGATGATGTTAATTCTGGTGATTTAGGGAAGGGGTTCCTGGATGTGGCATGCTGATGATTCGGCGCTGACTTTGTCATATAAAACTTCACTTGATGAGGTGTTTAATGTATTTGGAAAATATTGTCGGATTTCTGGTGTTAGAATAAACAGAAAATAAAATGAAAATAAAGAGAAAAGTCTGAGTTGCTGTGCATCGATCTTGAACAAATGTCAGTACTTGGTGGATATCTAGGACCCAATCATCAGTTGTGCGATTTTTTGAATTGGGAGCCTAAAATTGTGTCCGTATGAAGCATTTTAATGAAGTGGTCTCCGAGAAGACTAGCTATTTAGGGTAGATCGACTGTTATCTCTTCCTTAATGTTATATAATGTTGGTAAATACTTTGACAGCAACAAGTATCCCCGATAGATTTAAGATTACACTTAAATTTTTTTGTTTAAAACTCCTTTGGAATGATGGCGCACATTTAGTTGTTTATAAAAATAGGTATAAAGTCAGAAGGTGAGTTATAATATCCAGATATAGACTTCAGATTAAAAACCTTCAGAATTAAAATTGATTTCAGATTGTTTAGTAATATAAATACAACACTTTGGAAAGTAACGTGTCATTTTTTATCTAAAATAGCGGACACGAGGCATGGTTTAAGAGTTTTAACTGCATTTTAAAATAGAAACTTCTCCAATATATCCCTCCTTTTTACAGAGAAATGCCGTTGACATAGGCTGACATGCATGCGTCGATTATCTATTTTTTTTTATAAAAGCGTCAATCATATTTATTGTCTACCCATGTTTTATAATCCTTTGATTTTAAATGAAAATAGAAAATCAGTATTTTTGAAAGTGTTTATAGATGCCGGTCTGGTATATTAAAAAGATTTTACTTACGAAGTTGTTGAAGGTCTTATTCCCATCAATGCCATGGTAGTATTAGTCCACGAGAAATATCCGGAAATTACACAGGCGGTAATATCTGTTAAGTAGTTAAGTCTCTTCAAGCAATTAACACTAGAATTTGTAGAAAATGTTGTAAACAACTGCAACACGTGCACTGGTCTGACACAAGCCATTATATCACTGAATGGATCAGGGACACATACTGTCTCGCGAAACACGGGATACTTACCGTGCTCTCAAACGCCTGCACTTTGCTAAACCGGCGGGGATGTCGTTCTGTTAGAGTAGTTTTCCCATTCGGCAGGTAAATCATTTTTTTGAAACGTGCACGCATTTCGAACTCATTATCCGGTCAATGTAAGGTCGACCATCACGCTATTTCTACCAAAAGAAACTTTTGAGGTGTAGTATATCGGATTGAGATGATAGTCCGGTTTGTCAGTTGCAGTCATTTTTCATTTGTTTTTACATTGTCCTGTTTTATCAGATTTAAAAGTTTTTAGTTGGTATACGTAATAGAAAACTTGTTTCTGGTGTTCATCCTGGAAATATTAATTCACTTAGTTATGAAAAATTTGTTGTATCGGGTTTTAGTGAAAAATGGAAATATGTAAATACATTTTTTGTAAATTTCGTTCTGAGTGTGGCGATATTATTTTTGTGTCTTCAAACGGCGGAAATGTTGATGTCCGGTGAAGGGAGCTGTCCATATTACGTTTATTCATTCATTTAATTTTTCAAATTTACACTTTAAATCTGCAAATGAATGTGTTAGTTTTTTCACCTGTTAAGGCCCGTGCTACAAATGGCTACTGTGGTTACTTATTTAATTCTTTGAATGTTTCTTTTATTCTTTTTTGTACTGTGAGGAACCTAATGGGCCCAAATCCCTGAGGTTCTAATGCTAGGACATTGAATTATGACTTTTAAGATAAAAAATGGGTCATGCTAGGCGTGTTTCTTTATCGAATTCACATGTTGTCATCAGTACACACGTTATATATGTGATGCCATCTGCTAATTATCATGCGTTCGTCAATATTTCTTATGTTGCATTTTAGTAATATTTCATGTGTTTCTTAGAAATGCAGAGGGACAAGTTAAGATACCTGGTTTGATTATCATTGTTTAAATGTGTTTTGAAATAATCTAAAACAAAAAAAATAAAAAATAAAAAACATCCCGCGAGCCGGAGTCGAACCAGCGACCTAAGGATAGCTTCGAAATGTACCACTACAGTCCTCCGCTCTACCAACTGAGCTATCACGGGAGATGTCGATCCAATGGTAAAGTTCTGATCACGTCATCGATCAGACTTTGCCCCATGAGTCAGCTAGCTTTATGTACAGTGTACGAGGAAGTTGTTCTTTATCTTTCGTAATATTTACCTGAGAAAGAGAAAATTCACATTAGAATCGCGTGAAATCTTTTTGTCTTAAATGATATTAAATATTAACACAATTTTTTTTCTATGTACTGGTACCAAATAACAAAACGATAATTGATCATAAATCAATATTGTCACCGTGAAATAGATAAAAATGATATCGCTCTCTGTCGTTCTGTTTGTCTACACACGACCAAGTATTGTAGACGGATGTCGTTCTTGAACACGGATCTAGAAGAATCAACTTTATTTATCGTCAACATAAGAAACCGCAGTAGCTCTTTAAATCCATGATACTTATAAACCTCCCCTTCGGGACGACCCTACTTGTGACTACGGGTATTATCCTGAAGAGGCTTCTAACTAATTATTTATTGTGAAAACTTTTATCAATCTCGTGATGTGTTGCTTCAATCCCTCGCCTGACTGATATATCGAACTGACCGCGGGACACCTTATCTTCGGAGATCCAAATCTTGACACCATTCTAAACATTCTAATTTGTAGGGCTGAACATGCAGCATATCAAACTTTGAAATCATCGTTAATCTATCTAATACAAAGTTCGCACATGAAATTAAAAAAACCCACATATATATAGTATATATATATCTATAGAACCAGTTTTCTCTAAAGGACTATGTTTGATCAAGGAGAAACTCCATTCGCGACACGGATCGTTAAGGACTGTAGAAAAGCAGAACGTTTTATGTGTGTATATAGAATATATATATAGTTTATACTTACATTCTGTATTCCGACAAGATACGGAAAATCACACATGTGATCTCCAATAAATTATTCGCACACATATTTCAAGGATCCAATTTTTTCCTGAGTATTTTGCTGTAACCTCACCTTAAACTTGAAATGCTTTCGTATACCTACACGTATATATAAATTAATATTGGTCTATAATAACTTAGCGCGCATTTCTTTGATACAGAAAGGGGGAAATCAAGTTGTAATAACTTTTGTCCAATCCACTTGTCTTTATTTAAACTAAATTTCATATCTTGTTTACAAAGTGCTACATGTGACAAGCCTTGGTGTACCGAAATGGATTATACATTTATAAAACATTAAATGAATGTCTCCTTTCGTCTCGGCAACGAATCATCTAAAATCTCATACCGACAGAAAGAAATTTTATTTTCATTACTTCTGTATTATTCGATTTTTTTTTTATGATTTTGTTAACAAAAACTATATACTCGCGTAAGCTTGAAGTGTTGTGTTCGTTACAAGGGATATCTCGTCGGTATACCCGTTATATTATATTATATTATATTATATTATATTATACAGGTAATTTTTGTTGCCCGAGGCACACCAATCGCCACTCTCTGAAGCAGGAGAGATTTTGCCGAATTAGAAATGACCTTTATAATTATATACTATGTATGATTAATACGCCTATGATTGATATTTAGTCATAATTACACGAACGTCCCATTTAATTTTCAATCCGTAATATTAATCAACCATTTTATCAAACCACACAAAATGTGTGATCTTATATTGTGCATGTGTGCGGACGATATATGCATTGTGTCATAACATACCGTATGATAAACAAATAAACATGTTTCGCAATCAGCAATAAATCAATAATAATAATAATAAAAAAAAAGAAGCACATTCAATAATTTATTATTATTAAACCCTATACTGATATATATAATGATTTATCCTAATGTATTATCCAAGTCATAAATTGCGTCTCAAGATATTTTATCATTATACAATCAAATATAATTGATCTCGTAACAATTCAACAATCAGTGATTTTTTAATCATATTACATTATGTGATTTGAGTATCATAAAGTAGCCGTGTAGTGATTGTCTGGAGTTGTCATTGATTCATGACGTCATTGTCATCGTGATGTCAACAAAGACAGAAAAATTAAGTTAGCATACCTTCAATTTCAATATAAAAGGACATTTTCACGAAAGTATGATTTGTAAGGATTGTAAAAAGGACAAACAATACAATTTTGGAGCTAGATACAATAGAATCAAACAATAAAATGAACAGCATCATACAGCTGTTTCGTCCTTCTAGGACTCATCAGTGATGTTATGATCCTAATTTTGAAGCCTAGGAGGCAACTGCAGAAAATCCAAAGTGATCGAAAGAAAAGTCAAACTCTAGATGTGGAAGAGTACTTATTCCACAATTAAGTAAATTTCGCAATTTTCATATATCAAATAACTTTAGAACAACGTCATGTACTTGTGTATGTTCTGAACCGTGCTGCTGTTTGGATGAATTAAAGCGTGCCATGCAGCACAGACTGAATAGTCATAGATGCGTCATCATTTCATATGTAATTTACAAAACCAGTTACAAATTGTTACTATTACCTCGCCAGATGCTCGTTTTGTAAACTCATACTAATGCAAACTAGTGCATGATCATTCCGACGTTGCTAATTTTGTTCTCATTTGAGAACATGACGTCACTTATTTAGATTGATCAAGATTTACATAGCAGGTGCGTCGTTGAAGCAAAATACGCATATAGTCACTTATCCTTCCAGAACACGTAATCTCGTCCTTCTAGTACGTTTTCAGGGGTAAAGCTTTCTGTTATTCATAATTTGCTGTAGTTTTCTTAAATTTCATTTATCTTATTTTCTTTTATCGAAGTCATATTTTGTGTATTTATTCAATTCTCTACAACGATAGGTGAACGACGACAGAACGAGCAAAGAAAAACAGACAATATGATTATATTCTGAAAATAATTTTTACTTTTGTATCCGCAGTGGACATTTTTCTTTCACCATCAGCATCACATCATATCTTCAATACAATCATCAACACATCACTTTTCATGGTATCTAGGGCATGCAAGGACGCGACAATTTATACAAATTGGGTACAAAATAAATACTTATACATTATAAACACACAGCTGCAGCTTCAATAATCTAGCTTCACCATGTGTGACTATGGAACTTTTAATGTGTTATGTCTGGGGTGTGCAATATTTCTAAAAGCGCGCTTAACTTTACAAATAAACAGAAAAAAACGAAATTAATATCAAAATGCAGACCGATAAATATGATTAGTGATTTATTTTTTCGAAAATTATTATTCTAAATGCAGTTTGGCGACAAGTCCTGATCATATTTTGACTAAATTAAATAAACCTACATCATAATCCACGCTGTAAGTGCTAATACACACCATCTATATACTATTGTCACACGATCAAAAATTATTAAAATCCTTGTTAGACAATTAATGTTAGCACCATTCACGATACAACAAGGGCACTTCACAAATGAAAAACAGAAGGATACTGGCATCTGACGAAGGGGGTAATACTACGCCATGTTACAAAGTGTTAATGTAGCGATGCAACACGTTGTAACCTGAGAAAACATTCACATTAGAGAAATCTCCATTTTCCTTTTATTATTAAAACTATGATATCGACCAAGATTGTCTTTTGACAATTACGTCCTTGTACCGAATAAACTCGGGATTGTACTGTAAATCAAAAACACAAATATCGGTCATACTGACGTTGCCATCACATATTACATGATTGTGTTACCGTTCCTGCATACAAACATGCCAACGGCTAAAAGTCCTTATCACCGCATAGTAAAACATGTCTGGAATAAATTCACCAGTTAGCGTTCACTAAAACGTTATAATGTTACATAGTAATAAATGTGTCCATCAAACGAAACAACGACTTTATGTAAACAGTTTGCTTACTAATACAACTCCGAATAGAATGCATGCAAATATTATGATATGTATTTTTTCATATGTGCGTTTAAGATCAATTTCTTCTTATCTGATTTAACCTTTCGAACAATTGCACCAATACAAGTCAAATATCAAAGAAAAAGATCTACCTGCCGATTCCTTATACATGAAGCGTATTCTAACACGCCGAACTCTTAAATTTCCCAGATATTCACGATGACGCACTCAATTTTATGGGCAATCAAAACATTCAATGACACATGCGAGATTCTAAATCTGTTCTGAATATAAAAATACGAACCCAAGTTCATTTTTCTACATTTACGAAATTGCCCGTGGAAAATTTATGTTTACTTTTTGACACTACAAGAAAGAGAAAAACCTTTTTTTATGTTAAAACGTAAAAGTAGCGATCAAAGACTTGACTGGTCAGCACTGTACTTACACAAGAGTCGACAAATAATGTGTATTATAAAGTTAGCGGCAAGATGGTATAACGTAAAGTGACCAACACATGGTGACAGAAATAAATATCATATATAAATATCATGTATATATCAAAAGGAAACAATACCTACAATCGAAACGCTACTGGAATGGGTATAAGTTGAAATAAACATGGCACTAACCTTCACTGACGAAACGGTCAGCAGATACGAAATGAAGAACGTATGTATGCATTTGTCTTAAAATTCATTTATATCAACCAATAGAATAATGCCACTTTTTTGTCGCAAACGCACAAACATTAGCGGCTTAACAAACATAGATTGTTATGAAGCATGCTTTGATAATTAAACAGGCAAAGCACGTAACGTCCTATGCTTACCAAGGTCATATTTATCAGTAGTAAAACGACCAGTCGGAGACATTCACATTTAGCATGATAGTACTAGCCATGATAATGCTGAAAGATATCTGGTGCAAATAAATATATAAAAACAACAACGATACTATGGAATGTAGTTTTGATCTCAGATTAACAAAGAATTATATTGCTTTTAATCTATACCATACACAAACATAATCTATCAGTTAAATATCAATAGATGCTCTTTTAAACAACCATATATCATGTATTCAGTTTACAGTATGTATATATATATATATCTAAATTTCTGTTTTAGTATTTCTAATTATAAACCAACATTTACCTTGCGCTATATTTGGAGTTTAACTATTCACTTCACAACGACGTTACAAGGCGAACCCTTCTATCTATCACTTGAGATGTGTGATCAATGGACATACAAATGTTAACAGATAACTTGCTCTAAAATCGTGTTCGTTTCCAATGTTTCTTTCATCCAAAACCACTGGAAGCTTCTGTTTTTAATATTTTATATCTCGTCTGTTTCAAATAAGAATATTCTATTATTGTTAAAAAACACGTTGTCACAAGTGTTTTCAATTAAGAAATATAGCTTAAAGATTTTGATTGTTATGTATACTATATTGAATACTAAAAAAAGACGACTTTTTTTGTATCAAATCAAATTTGAATGTTAACGGTTCCAGTAGAATTTGTGAGAAGTTCAACCAAATGCAGAATATATGAAGACACGGCAATTTTTTTCTATCACAGACTTTAAGTGGACAACTGACATGTAGGTCAGAAGTCAAAGACATTTAACATGAAACCACATACAAAGTACCTAAATGCATGAACATATTAAGATTTGTCAAGTCAATATATGTTTCATTACAGGTGAGGCAGCAGCGTGTTTCTAACTACAGGTCAAAGTTCATACATGTATATACTTTATTTTAGTTTCCGGTAATTACTCGTTTCTTTGATGACAGCATGGTCGGATGTGCAATAAGATGTTTTATAAATTGAAAAATGACACTTACATCCAAGCAAATGCCAACGTAGAAAATCCCAAAACTTTCCATGCTATGTTAAATTGATCCTCTGGTGCTATTTCCTCAAACAAGCCAGCAATTTTATTGCATTTCACAGTCATAATCAAGTATGTAGATGAAGAACTGCTGAATTTCATTCAGTTTCTTCTCATATTCCTTACATAGTTCACATACATTGAAATCAGTGATTCAGAAATGCGGTAAGCAATCTCTCTTCTGATTCCCAAAATAATATCATTTCTTTGTTGGACTTGGCACCAGCATCCAGTAACATTTTCACACCCTTAATTCTCCTTATCAATCACCAGTATACCAGTCAATTCGTATTTCAAGTTAGGTTTATTTTTTTTCTTCTTGTTGGAAGATTCTATCTCCTTTCTTTTGATAAGCGACCAATATGTCTACTGATTTGGCGTTTTGGATCAAGAAACTACTACAGATGTTTTCTTTTTTGGCGATACTTAATAGGCTTAACGAACCTATTGCTCTCGTTTCGTCTATCGTGTTAGCTTTTTAAAAATATTTTTGCCTTTTGAGAGAATCCCTCCAGTGCTCTTCTTTTTCTGGCGAATTTCATCGGGTGTAGCAGACCTAGAGCGAGTCGGTGTGTGATTGTGGGTGGCACTCTCTACCCAATCTGGTTGTACGGATTCCACTGTCGGGCTCGGTCCCATGTTTGACGTCTGATAAAATAAATTCAATGAAATGAAATATTTCTCTGTATAGAAATATGCTTGATGTAATTAATGTTTATGCAAAGACAATAATAAATACACCTGCTAGTTCCAGACTTTCGCTTAAATATGTCTGACTTTTATCTTAATCACAATTGTATAGTTCGATCTAGTGAAATGAATAACGAAAATCTATACCAAAAACTATTAATAAGTCAGCGAACTTGAAGGCAACAAAGAAGGACGTTTTCGTTCCTCGGATTGAGCTCTTGATACTTAATTCAAGTTCTAAGATAGAATTATCAATTTCAACAACATAGCAACTTCATGTTTCATTTTAACTGTAAGTAAAACTCGACAAATTCTCAGAGGACAAAACGTGTCATTTGGTAATGAAAAGAGAACCCTCCGTGTATCAAGCCCATGATTACTGAATTCTAAATCTATTGCATCCAACACCAGATACATGTGGATATAGTTTATAATAACATGCATCCAAAGGTAATGCGTTTTAAATGGAAATATCTTAATGTTTTAATGCTGGCGACACCACTACATTTACAGGATACAACAGCACCAATGTTAACATATGATCTCAGTTAAGTTCAACAACACATTACTTTATGCCCACTTAATGACAAATTAATATGATGCATTCTTGTTTATCTATCAATTGTACATACAATGTGACACAAAGATTCACTGGACATTGATACTAATTCATACGTTTATGTATTTCAGAGGATTAGAAATATGAAGGAGTGGTTACGAAAACGAAGAAAGGAGCACATCACAACATGACGTTTTGATATCAAGCTGGTATAGGAGGGAGGGAATAATCATACCACTTAAATGTAAAATTAAACGTAATTATCACCTATCTTGCCATTTCAATTATTTTCAGAACAATTTTGCATAATGCTTCATCATGATCTTTTCAACAATGTATTTCATTTAATTAACACTTCCTCGACATTTTCCCAATTTGTATTAAAACGATTTATTAACATTTTGCATTTAAATGTTTTCTGTGCTGGAATCTGTGCATTTGCCGATATATTTAAGAATATTATATGTAACATAGTGTTATAGATATTACAGTCGTTCTCGTATATGTCATAGATAGTACTCGTTTTCTAATTGACATAAAGAAGATTTTCAGTCAATATAATAAAACAAATATTCAAAATTACCTTATATGGCTACAAGCTTAATATTTTTTACAATGAGATGGTAGGTGTAGGTATACATACAAACCTCCAAATATGCATAATGCATTTACATTCCTAAATAGGTTTGTCTTCGCAACTTGTGTCGTGTGTCTTGGTTGTCAGGTCCCAGATCTAATGTACGTTATATCTATAAAGACTGTGCTTTATTCTAGTGCAACGTTTTGTGAAAGTATCATGCTAAAATTAAGGATATATTAATTATGTGCAAATACCAGTAGTAATGTCAATCATGCGATTAAGTGACATAGATAAAATTACAATCCCTTCTATGATAACAAATGCAAAATGTCTACCCTAAAAACAGTATATCATGCTCAAGTATATTATTAAAAAGATGATGAAAAAAAATTAACACTATAATTAAAATCAATCAAAGAGACAATGAAAAAATCTGTAAATAGAGACCGTTCTGTTAACTAGAATTTATCAACAAAATTAACACTATAATGAGACATTTGTCGAAGGACTTTTGTTGTGAGATAACTTATCTTTCAACCGCGTTGCATCATTTTATATAAAGAATAAGTATGACTGATAAAAGTTTAGTGTAAATTACTTAGATTTCTTGAGTGCTTCATTTTCGCGAACTTACCTCTTCAGCTATATTCGCGAATATATGATTTTATGAATGGTGATCTAGAAATGAATTTAAATTCGTGAATGATGGGTTATTAGATATATGAACTCTGATTTCAGTAACCGAATCTGTATGGATATCACCAAGTGTTATTTTCTTATAATCGCGCAAGACTTCAATTCTCGATTGAATATCACTGCATATTAATGCGTAAATAGATACCATGTGAAATATATGCGATTTACACAACTACTGTGATATAAGAACATATTTAAATACATGTTTGATTTTTCATTAACATGTATAATTCATTGTTACGATTCACATTAACTATGTGACCTTAACATTATCTTTCAGTATATCTTTATCTAATATTTTCATTAATTCTAAAAGTTTATTATTAATAACGTTTCTCAAAGTAGGTCAGCTGTAATCAACACTTAACGGTAAGAAACCTCATTAGTTAGTGGTAGAAAACGTGAGTTAAATTCAACTTCACATCACAACAACGGGGATTAGGTTAATGAAAACAGTAACACTAACATTGATATGATGTTTTAACGTTTTTAAATTAAGGCTTACGTTGTTGGTACTTGTGCACTCTTGGTTATATTCTAAAACCTGTATAGGGTACAATGTGATCAATATTCTGTTTGATATACATGTACATTCCTTATACCATACATTTGTGAAAAATGGGGCATTTGTAAACAGTTACCATGGGAACATTATGTTCAGTATGTTATTACTATTCCTAGCTACTAGTTGTTCTACAATATTTACAATAAAATACATACAAACATTCTAAATGTATCAATACTTCAATACCACAGCTTCTTTCATAAGTTAAACTATCAGTACACCGAACTGTGGGAATTGGTGACAAAATTCCCAAATAGATATGCAAGTATAGAGGGCCTAGTTTCAACCAAAAGGTAAAATACTGTACATGTCACTGAGCTCCGGTCTCTGATCTCCCTTACAATATGTATAGACAGTATCAATGATTTCCCAAGAGGTGAGACAAAACTGACGATTCATAATGCATCAAGTTTCTGTACCAGTAAACCTGGCCATTCACAACAAAGACACGTCTTGGTTCATAATGTGCACATTTACGTTTTCAGTTGATCTAAATTAATGACCCCATTTTCCACAAAATATATGACATAGGGACGTTATTAAACTCTTGCATGCAATTACAGCTAGCACTTCAAATAAAAGACATAATACCTAAACCAACATTCCATAGACTTCCAAGGGAATGCTATTTAATTAGGTCTTCTGAAAAATGCATTCAGAACAAAATAGCCATTAATGTCAGTGTCTCAAAAATGACTGACAAGTTCCAAGTTCTTTTACAATATCTCTTTGCTCAAAATGAGAACATAATAACAGCTTTCATCTTCATGATGGTTTCCGTGGCTTAAACGATGTGTAGGAAATAAAAGATTAAAGCAGAGATGCAAAATGCAGCATTATTATCATTGTCATCCAATATCAGTGATGATACAGTGTAACTATAGCATACAATCAAAAATATTTTCAAACAAGTAACTGTATCCATTATTGAAAGGTACTACTTTTAGTCTATCCTATAAGGAGACTCTGGGACAGTATACAGAAGATTTACAAAAGACACTTCAGTTAAAAGCAACTATACTATGAGTTTAGAATTTGATGAGTCATACAATGGATTAAACTGCATCGTAAAGCTGTTTCATCCTTTTAGGAAATGTCAGTGATGCTACTATGGCCTAAATTTTAAAACCTACAAAGCGACTAAGGAAAATCAATAGTGACAGCCCCCCTCCACCTCTCCCCCAATATGATTTGCAGATTTATATAAATCTACCTGATAAGAACGTCCAGTGTATGTGTATCCTGAACTGTACCACTAATTGAAACTACAGGCTGTCACAGGCATTCAGGTATAATTCTAATTATCAACAAATTGGTAATGCAGGATAAGACATATCAAAACCTTCAAATTAACAAAATCTATCATTATAATACATTATTATCTTATCTGAAAGAAATTTGGAAAAGGGATAATTGTGTTGAAAGATAGTTATTTTTGTGAATACTGACGATAATATTGTTTTTCTTCTTATCACCTGTTACTTCAAGATCAAATGCTTTAAAATGACTGTTAATGATGGTTGAATTACATTTATTTTAACCAAACATGTAACACACTAATGTTTTCATGTAACGAATATCACATTATTGCACATTTTATAAATATGCAGAATATTCTAAATCTCTAAATTTTCTTACAAATAACTTCAAATCATATTAATGTTTTACAACCTGTTTTATAACAAAACACTTATTACATATATATATCATATTGGAGATATAGAGGTAGTGTTTATAACATATAGTCGATGAGGACAGGGAAGGTTTTGTGAACTACAGTACTTTAACAACAATGGATACAGCTAGCAGTGGACAAGGTGGCTGGGAACACCAGGAGGCATGCAGTATGTACAAGTCAGGTCGGTATTTGTAAGCATTGATGGGAGAACAAGATGTGATTCAGTTTTAATTGTATGTGAACTATGGTTTGATTCCAATCAGTGTATGATTCAATATCAAATTTTGTGTGAGCTAAACTTTGATTACAGCAATATGTGATTCAACATTCAATCTTAACCAAGCTACATTGTAGGTTTTAATTCCAGTAATGCCTATTTAGCTAGAGTCTAGTTATGTGTGATTCAATATTCAATTGTATCTAATTTTTGAGTCTAATACTGAAGAATACAATATTCCACTGATATGAACTGTGTTTTGATTACAGTAACATTTGAATGTTGATTGATGCAGTGAAACATTGTCTCAGCAATTCACCATCATGCTATAAATGTCTCATCAAGGTTTGCATTATTCTGTTATGATTTTATTTACTTGTTTTAAAAGGCTTTTTCTTTTTTCTTTTTGCAGATATAATGTCCTTTGGGTTTGTCAAGAAAGAAATAAGAGCCAAAACCTGATAAACATTATGTTATTTGCATGAAAACACATCCTTCTCCCATCTCATGCAAGAAAATCAGATTTGAATTCAAAATGAAATAAAATAAATGAAAGTGCAGTCAAATGTCAGCCATAAAAATAAAAGCTTAGATTTAGAATTTGAATGGAAATTAATGCAGCAAAAAACCAAATTGTCTTTATAAAAAAAAAGGATTTTTCAAAAAGAAGGCCAAAAATCCACAAAGATTAAGTCTAATACTTCCAAAGTACCCACTGATACACCATAGTTTCTTTCACAGGTTCGATGGGGCGGTCACATGCATGCAGCCTAGGTCACAGTCACCTACTTTGTCTAGTCCAAGGTCAGACTGGTGCGACCCCGTAATGTGGTTGAGACTTTCGCCTGACCTGGCAGGGGAGACAATGCTTGTTGCCTCATGTGGGTCTTCTTCCTGGAGTGGTGCATCCTGAAGGAAGTTGGAAGGTACAAGTCCACGATGTCCATTCAGTTCAGCCATGTAGAATCCATCATCATCCATGTCTCCGTAAATATACAAGATGTCTCCAATGCGAAAAGGAAGCTCCACCTAGTGGTTAAAATCAGTAATGTACATTAAAAAAAATCCAATTTCTTACAGTAAGCCTGTCATGTACCTGTGACATATACTTTTTCTTAATTGTTCCATTAAAACTGGGAAATTCAACATGTTCATGAATAATAGATATTTTGGAAACTTTTTAATATGGTTTATGAAATGCTGCTGTTCTGAGAACACAAAAACGGTCATGCTGCTTGACAATGCTTACCTCACTGTCGACGTTTGGTGAGAGTTCTTGTGGGTCATAGTCATAGAGAGCAACCATGCGTCTACTAGCTACTGTGGGTGACAAGGGTATCGGTACACCGTTCTGTTCTAGCGTCTCCAGGCTTTCTACAGACTTGTTGTAGTGCTGAGATTCCGGCCCAACTACAAGAGAATTATTCACAAATGTTATACATAAGTTGTAATGTAACAATTTATTTCAGCTTTTCTGACAGTAATTTAAGGGTATTGAGAGAGTGGATCAAATTCGTCAGAATACCTGTGAGGTGAGAATGCATGCTGAAGGCTTCTTGACTCTCCTTAAGAAGCTGTTCTGCCAGGTCAGCATCATCAACTTGTATTTCAGAAACCATGTTACAGGGCACAAAGCCAATTCGATTGTTACATTCTCCACGATAAAACCCATCCTGGTCCTTGTCGCCATAGATCTGGACAAAGAAAACGTCACAGGTACAGAAACATGAAGGCATAATTACCATAGTAACAATAACCTATGTATTATCTAACAAGTTTTGAGAATATAGGTTGATATTGAGGTGATACCAATACTTCCTATTAACTTTTCCTAAAGAATATCAGGTGAAATAGGAATATATCCTGTGGAAGGGGAACGTCCAATATTTCCTTTGATTAGATGTCTTCCTAAAGAATAATGAGTGTAATCATTGGTCCAATATCCAGGTCACTCCTTCCTAATGAAATATTCGGTGAAAAAGAAACATTATCAATATTTCCCCTAACCTCTTCCAAATCTCAAAACCTACTTTCTAAAGAATATTGAGTGAAACAGAAACATATCCAATATTTCCCCGACTTATTCCTACATGTAAAAACACTTTGTGAAAAAGAAAAAAAAACATATATCCCTACACCTCCATCCTCAATACTCCAGGTGGTCATGGAAAAATTGAAGGTTCAATGTGCCAAACCTAATTTGATCCTTTGATGTACATCAACCGAATCTCAAAGTTGCATAACAGTATATTGTAATGGCTTTGAAGTTGGATATTGCGCCTTTGTAATTTTCAAAAGGAGCATATCAGCCTGTGATTGGTCAGTTTTTCTCTCCTGAAACCAATGAAATTACTTCACTTGTGTCTTCAATTATTTTACTTATTTACACATTAATGGAAATCGGTCTGATTTGATAAAATACTCATTGTAATAGGTTGAAAGAATGTTTCTTTTCATCTATTTGACTAAAAATAAAATTTAAATTTACATATAAGGTATATAATTAATCATTAATATGCATTTCTATAAAATCAACACAAGGATTTCTGATGTATAAATGCATTTCATAAAAGTGACAATTAGTCATATCTATAAAATTAATGCTAACTAGCTTATCCTATAAAAACTAATCATGTGTTATGTTATTTTATATACTGGTATATCACCAATTAGCAGGGAAATGATAGCAGCATATTTCTCTAAAGCAGTAATATAGGGATGATGTTTAATGAGTCCTTTGTAGCATTAATGAGTTACATAGTTAGATGTCTAATAATGAAGGTAACTTTGATAATGTATTGAGATTAAATATACTAGGGTATACTAGTAATTTAATAGTTAAATGAGAAACAGAAATGACAGATCAAAAATTTCATTTCGGCTGAAAAATAAAATAAAATAATTTAGTGACATGGAATAAATCTTTTCTTACAAACGTTTGCTTTGTAGTATCAATTGAGCTTGAGTAATGTAAATATATATCTAAATTTGCTACAATATTATACTGGTTTTATTTGTTCTCATTATTAAAATCTAAAAACTAGAATTATGCATAACTGCTTCTGGCATGCAATTTTTATCAAAAAGTAACTTTAGGCTATATTTATAAAAATCTTAGTAATGAACACCATGCATTCTTAACAGCTATATAAAGGGAGGCAATCCATGCTGGCAGATTTGTAATACCTTAATGATCTGTCCTTCTTTGAATGGTAATTCCTCATCAATACAATCCACATTTGGAGACATACTAATAGGATCATAATCAAACAGAGCCACAAATAACCTGATGCGCGTGTCGTCCACCGGAGGATTGATCTCGCCACTAATAGAATCTACCTCTGCACTCTCGTCCACACTAATTTCATTTAAATCCAGAGACGGCACTTCTGGATGCCTACGCCCTGAAGGCGATAGGTCATTTGATAATAGCTCATTAGCGTTTGAATCTTGATCAGAAAAAGCTTTGCCATTTACAAGTGTCACAGGACTATGTAAAACATCTTGAGGACTAGTCCGATTATCAAGGTTTAATTTAATCGAATTATCCTGTAAATCATTTTCCACTTTAACACCTGTTAATGACACAGGTCCATGAGAACTCTCCTGTGTTTGATTGTTTTGGAGTTTGTTAAACAACTCCACTTGCTGTTTAACTTTTCCTTTTTCCCGAACGTCATCCCTGCCATCAGAATTTTCCTGGTATCCAGGAAGTCTGTCCTTGTTGCTATGAGAGGGAGAGTTTCGTGATGGAAGGGAGCGTGTTGGTGAATCACTTTTTACACTGTTTCTGTTGAATTTTGTTGGAGACGTAGCTTCATCCTCGGATACTGAGTTACCTCTCTCACTACTACTGTCTCTTGTTATTTCTGGAATAAGTCAAACAGATATGAAAATATAAGGCAAAAGTGCTAACTTCATTTTTTGATTAAAAAAAAAGGAGTTTAACATAAGGCTCTCTTTGTTTCTTAACCACCCTTTAAAATAAGTTCTTACTCTAAAGTCGGTCCATATGTATCATTACATATCCAAAATCTTGTCTGCAAACCAACATAAACATTTCTATTTCAAATTGATTAAAAGATTTCTCACCTGCTTCTTTGCATTTGCAAATGCATAAAAATACAAAGAGATTCTGTCAATGAAACCAAGTACCATTGAGAATTAATTTGAGAGTATTTGTCAGGACCATAACAAGGTTTATATGGACCTCTTGAGATTGAGCAGTCCTAGTCCTAGAGGGAGGAAACAGCTGTATGTTAGATTTTAATCCTTATTTGGCTCTACTCCATTTAATTCTGAATTTGTGTCAGCAGGTGTTATTTATTTGTGTGTGTTTTTGTAAACAATGTTGTTGTGATTTCTTTGAACAATCCAAGAACCTACTTTGTTTAAGGAACAATGAGTTGAACATTAATGGTGCTTTGAATGCCAATCAGGAACATCCAAACTGTGAGATGTTTACATGTTGGATGTAGATTCAAATGAATTTTACTGAAATGACAGACTTGAAAACCTTTTTTCAAAATTAAAAATGTTAAGGGGGAATATTTTTCAAACTGAAAAATAAAAGCGTTAATAAAATGTATATTTGTATCCTCCAGTAAAGCAACATCACTTTTAAATGGCATCTTTTGGGATTTTTTTTAACGAAATGAAATAATCAGATCTTAGAGTAAAAGAATACTTTTTGAAAACAGCAAAATTAGGGGTTCAAAACTGGGAGTCACCCTCCTAAATAGAAAGGCTTGTACAAATATGAAATGATAACTAAAAACCTTTCAAGACACACCTGTAAAAACACCTGGTATGGTTCAAACCAGGACGAGATCAGTCAAATTAATCCATGCATATTTTTCTGATAGTGTATATATAAAGAAAATGACTATTCTAGTAATAATATGGATTTGAGACAACTATTAATTACCTATTGCTGGAACTATTCTCTGAGGGGCATGTACCACAATAGGTACAGTTGTCTCCTCTTGTTTGTTCGTTGGTGATCCACCAGAGGGAGCTGGCACCAATTCTGTAGTATCGTTGGCCTGTTGATTGAAGTATTAATATAACAATGCCTGCCCCATATATTTTTAAAAAGCATATATATTGATACATTTTATTTACTGCCATTGGAATTATAGTGAAAATCCAAGAAATAAAAAAAAACAATTTCAGTAACACATAAAAAATGTTCAAAATTACAAATCTTGATGTCAAATCACTGGAATGTTTTTTGTTGAGGGGTAGGGAGTGGGGGGAGGGGGTGTATTTGTATGAATGCAAGATCACAATACTTAAATGTCCAGATCATCCTGAATATTAAATAATCAAAACACTTGGCTATTCACTGCTCTAGTTTAGAATACACCTGGGGTTGTTAAGATGTTTAGAAAAAAAGATTAGGGATGACATCAACACCTTATTAGTACCTGTCATTCCCATACACCAAAATTAATCCCACGGAATATTTTTTAAGCAGTTTATACAGAAAACAACACTAACTGTAAACAAATTTGCAAACAATATTCATGAGTATTTCAAAAATATTAACGACATTTAACAATCATATAGTTAAATACTGTGTGGCATTGGTTTATGTATTTAAGTATGATGTTTACGATCACTTAATGAGAGTCATGACTGACAGCAAAGATACAGGTTTTCCTAAAGAAAGAAAGAAAAAGAGAAAGAAAAATCTTCAATCTTTAGTACACTTACCAACAAAAAACATATGTTCAAAAAATATTTGTACAAAAAAACATTTGTACACTTTTCAATATCTGTTGGACATTGTTATCAAATGTCTTCAGTATGATGCCAATAACATGGTTATTTTTGTGCTATATGTTAAGATATGTGACCAAAACAGTCTTTACATACTATTTAAATGCCAGGATAATGTTTCTTATTCATTGCGTTAATTAGCAATACACTGGAATTCATTGATACTTAAACATCCTTGAATTCAGAAAGACAACGGCTGATCATTGAGACAATTTGTCACGGAACAACATATGTTTTATTAATAAACTTGGTCTTCTCATTTCATATTGAGCACCCCTGTATTAAGATCCACAAGTCTGAAACACAAGGAGTAGGAGCTGTGCTTTGTTTCAAAAAACATGGCTGATGGCCGATATAATTAGGGAAGGAAATCAAAGCAAATTTTGATTTTCCAACATAACTGATTTTAAATAAACGGTTGTAAATACATGGATAAAACTATGTGCGTGACCAATGCTTTTCACAAAATCACAACAATTCCGTATAGAAGACACATGCAGCTAACTAAATACAGAAAATAAGAGACAACAGTCATTCAAGGTGTATATACTATAACTATATACAGATATGCAGTGCTGTCATCTTTATGATGGAAATGGTTAACATGGAAATTAAGGTCAAGGTCAAGATTAGAGGTCAAAGCTTAGCAGTATGGTCCTTTGCAAGGCATGTGCTTCATCACATCACACATAAATGACAGGAAGAAAGGTCAGGTTTCATTCTGAAGGGCGGATATTTCACATTTCATTGTAGGTAAAAGAGGAGACCTCGAGGATCATAAGTATACCTAGAAAGTTTTACTATAAGTAATTTCTTATGAAGTTCGTGCATTGTATGATAATGATATCTTTATTCACTTAATGGAGTACAGAAATGCAGTTTTCAGAAATAACATTTCGAGAATAGAGAATGAAATTTTTCATTCAAGTGATTCTGTATCACACATCACAACTGATATAGAAGTATGATCAATGAGAGGGATGGCAAGAAATCATCTTAAATTGTTTTATTGATATCAACAATAGTACATTAATCCTAAAATCAGTCAAGCTTATTTAACGAAAACCTGAATAATTCTAGGATAACACTGAGTTCAGTATCAGAAATATGAGGAAAATAGCTCACAAAGGTTTAATCCCAAAATAGATAGGAAGGAATTACCAAGGTACTTAATAAATAGATAGAATACCTGTCTAGAAAGAAGAACACAGAGTAATGAACAGGTAATGATTGGAAATAAACTTAACCATGTTATACCACAGTTGTTGATTAAACAGGTCAAAAGACAGGTGAGAATGGTGGGTAGAGTATGAACAGAGTATTATACAGCCCAGAGGACAGGTGAGAATGGCAGGTAGAGTATGGAATGGAGTATTATATAGTCTAAAGGACAGGTGGTAATGGTAGGTAGAGTATGTAACAGAGTATTATACAGTCCAAAGGACAGGTGAGAACAGCAGGTAGAGTATAGAATGGAGTATTATACAGTCCAAAGGACAGGTGAGAATGGTAGGTAGAGTATGTAACAGAGTGTTATACAGTCCAAAGGACAGGTGAGAATGGTAGGTAGAGTTTGTAACATAGTGTTATACAGTCCAAAGGACAGATGAGATTGGCAAGTAGAGTATAGAATGGAGTATTATACAGTCCAAAGGACAGGTGAGATTGGCAAGTAGAGTATAGAATGGAGTATTATACAGTCCAAAGGACAGGTGAGAAGATCAGAATATGGAACAGAGTATAAGTGAATACATTGTGTCTGAAGTAGAGTACACATACATGGAAATAATGCATAAATTATAATTTTTCAGGATCCTTCACCCAACATTCGCTTGCCAAGAAGAGCAAATGACAACCTGACCTTTGCAGGTGACCTTAAGCAATCATCCAATGAGGGACTTCGATGAATGTGAACTGATGCATGACTGGCCGTGTCCTCTTCCTCCACTTCCGGAATATCAGAGAGTTCAGAACTGCTGCTTGTATCACTATAGTCATCAACATGACGACCCGTCTGTGCAGCATTTAACGTCAGAGTCTGTAGAGTAAACGTTAGGTGAAGAAAAAAAAAACATTTACACGACAAAATCTTGACACTGCGCCATTCATTGTGTTACTGTTATATAAGCCAAAACACAACATGGCGTACTGACACTGACCACAATGATATACAGATAAAAAAAGTGACCACTTCCAACAATTCTGTAATTAGATAAATTTTTTTTTTTTCTCGTTTAGAATAGCTTTTAACAAATATCTCATCATTAGACAGAAATCAGGGTCAGTACACCTTGTCAGATTAAAGTAAGGATTAAGAAGAAAAAAATACTAGACATGAAAAAGACATCTTCCAATAGCATTACAAAACCAAACTATAAGCAAGCAGGGAAATGTTGCCCAGCCAGAAAACACATACCGTATCTATCCTGCAGCAAGCCCAATCCACCAGCCAGACAACACATACCGTATCTAACCTGCAGTAAGCCCATGCTCCCAGCCAGACAACACATACCGTATCTATCCTACAGTAAGCCCATGCCCCAAGCCAGACAACACATACTGTATCTATCCTGCAGTATGCCCAATCCTCCAGCCAGACAACACATACCGTATCTAACCCGCAGTAAGCCCATGCCTCCAGCCAGACAACATATACCGTATCTATCTTACAGTAAGCCCATGGCTCCAGCCAGATAACACATACTGTATCTATCCTGCAGTAAGCCCAATCCTCCAGCCAGACAACACATACCGTATCTATCCTGCAGTAAGCCCATGCCTCCAGTCAGACAACACATACCGTATCTGTCCTGTAGTTAGCCGATGTCTGGTAAGAAGCTTACCTCCTAATTCTATTGAAAAGTATATGTTTTGCCCCCTGGCCTATCACCTGTTAACTTTGATTCAGATGGTATGTGTTGGCCCCCTGGCCTATCACCTGTTAACTTTGATTCAGATGGTATTTGTTGCCCCCTGGCCTGTCACCTGCTAACATTGATTCAGATGTTATGTGTTGCCCCCTGGCCTATCACCTGTTAACTTTGATTCAGATGGTATGTGTTGCCCCCGGGCCTATCACCCATTAACTTTGATTCAGATGTTATGTGTTGGCCCCCTGGCCTATCACCTGTTAACATTGATTCAGATGGTATGTGTTGGCCCCCTGGCCTATCACCCATTAACTTTGATTCAGATGGTATGTGTTGCCCCCTGGCCTATCACCCATTAACTTTAATTCAGATGGTATGTGTTGGCCCCCTGGCCTATCACCTGTTAACTTTGATTCAGGTGGTATGTGTTGGCCCCCTGGCCTATCACCCATTAACTTTGATTCAGATGGTATGTGTTGCCCCCTGGCCTATCACCCATTAACTTTGATTCAGATGGTATGTGTTGGCCCCCTGGCCTATCACCTGTTAACATTGATTCAGATGGTATGTGTTGGCCCCCTGGCCTATCACCTGTTAACATTGATTCAGATGGTATGTGTTGCCCCCTGGCCTATCACCTGTTAACATTGATTCAGATGGTATGTGTTGCCCCCTGGCCTATCACCCATTAACTTTGATTCAGATGGTATGTGTTGGCCCCCTGGCCTATCACCCATAAACTTTGATTCAGATGGTATGTGTTGGCCCCCTGGCCTATCACCCATTAACTTTGATTCAGATGGTATGTGTTGGCCCCCTGGCCTATCACCTGTTAACATTGATTCAGATGGTATGTGTTGGCCTCATGGGCTTATTGCACATTAGATATGGTACATATAGTTAAGAATCTGACTTTCTAGATATGATGTAAGGTTTAATTATCTAAAAAGTTATTATGTTCTCCAGGTGACCATTGTAACCTTGGCCACCACATGTGGTCTATATATATGTACAGGTGCCACATGTGGCTCCCTTATTTCTGGTTCCACTTGATATAACTACATAAATCAGCGTTATCTAGATAATTGGTTGAATTGTAAATTTACTGGCAAATCCATTTGATTTCTTAAGTTACATCTGCAGACTTAATTGGCAAATATTTTGGTCAATCTTGAGGGGATTCAGATGTGATCCTGGTGATCATAATCTCTAAAAAAGTTATGAAATCTTGCTATCCAAGAAAGGGAAAGTGATATAATGCAGACTAATAGGCTAAATACTAGCTAGCACTGAATACTGATGTCTTTTAAATGTTAATTAGAATGACAATATTTTTTCTTAATATGTTAAGATAAAAAGAAAAAAAACCCACTTCAGCTTTGGCTTGGTACAGATTGTTATGACCTGGTATGTAAAGATAGATCTATATATCGATTTTGCCTTAAATAAATTACCCCAAAGCTGATGTGTTTGTTGTTATGTAGAAATAAACATCACAATAGAAAACAACTTGTTTTGAATATCTCTAGATTCTTTTGTCCTCATTTTGTCCTCAAAAGAAATAATCTGTTTTCTGCTGTAATTTAATGAAGGTTGATACCATACCAAAACAATTTGAAAGAAATTCTGTTTTTAATCTACATCCCTCCCCACAACAAATCTGAGTGGTGGTTCACAAGGATAAACAAGCAGTCTGTCCTACAGATGATATTGATGTATACAAGTTGTTTACCACTGACTATATCTACAAAAAGCATGTGCAGAGAAAAGATGAACGAAGACTCCATGTATTTGTTTGTATTACCACAGCAGAGGCCTCTTCCTGAGGCAGTTCTCGGTACATCAGTGATGGGTCTGTATCCAACGCTCTCTCCACGTGTGACCTCTGGAATACCAATATCTTTCAGTTTAGTCAAGTGCAAAAGAAATGTCTCTATAGTCAGCACACCCATAACATAGAGCAGATCAGTTCACGTACCAACCTAATCACTGATAGCATGAACACACTTTTTTTCATCTAAAAATTTTTAAATATGAGTCATATTTTAGTGAAGCATTAATAAACCAGGTTTGATGAATTTGCAAAAAGTTATAAAATTATGACCTTTGACCCAAAGTTGACCAATGACTACCTTATGATTGATTCTGAGGAGAAGATGTTATGATAGAACTTGAACCAAAGATGTTGAGAAGTTCTTAAGATTGATTCTGAATGGTTGCTCTGGATTCTGAGGAGAAGATGTTATGATAGAACTTGAAACAAAGCTGATGAGAAGTTCTTAAAACTGATTCTGAATGGTTGCTCTGGATTCTGAGGAGAAGATGTTATGATAGAACTTGAAACAAAGCTGATGAGAAGTTCTTAAGATTGATTCTGAATGGCTGCTACGGACATGATGTGATAGGATGCTACACTAAGTGATGTGATTGGATAGACACACAAGCATGCCTGCCCCTACCTCTCCCCCCGCTCTCACTGACCTGACCTTCCATAAAATGGTGAGGGTGTATTTATACACTGTATGATAGAAAATCCTCATCTTTAATATTCCTATATGCCAAATAGGTTGTGTCTTCACAGTCCATGATGTAATTATATGCATGCAGAAAAAGCAAAATTCAAGACCTTTATAAGACTGCCTTTAAAAATGATTTTGAAAAGGGGTACATCAATCACAACAAACAAGGGACTGGTTTTTCTCCTCTTTCACCTGAACGTTGGGCTTCATTAAGAGAGTTTAAGAATGATTTTAAAGCTAAACATTAAAAATCATTATCGTTGAAAAAGCCTCTGGGAGACTTGACTTACCTGACCATCGGTGACTTTAACCAATGCCTCTGTGGCAATCGACTTGGCAGCACCTGCAGTGATTTCCTTGATGAGTGTCTGGGGCAGCCTGACCAACTGCGACTCAGCGGACTCCTGACCGTCTCTAGTGACTGTCCGAACCAACAGCTGTTTAGGGATAAACCCTAGAAAATCTTTAGCACTAAGAATGATATGGTCATCTGGAAAAAAACAGAAATTAAAAGATAAATAAGTATTCAATGTGCCCTTGTAAAACATCACCTGGTCACTGGTACATATTACCTAATATCAATCCAAATCTAAGGGTAAAGGCAAGCTCTGGAAACTCAGAATGGTTTACACAAGAAAGTGTTTAAGTTTTGTCTAACAAACATTTCGTTGATAACTCTACAGTAACTTACTAGTTGGACCTAAGGCCTCCTTTGTCCGACGTCCATCTGCGTAAACAACATATCCTGTTACCATGGCACCATTTGACGATCCTGAAGTGTCTATTGTCACTGGAAACCAAGTCAACAGGAGAGTTCCTTCCTGGGGTCCAGCCTCAACCTGGATATTGATTGGAGGTTCTGGAAGTCCTGTAAAGACGAGGTATATAAGTTAGACAAAGTATGGATAGTTAAGGACATATTAATGACATTTCCTTTTAAAAAGATAAATTCTAAGAAAAGCAGAAAACTTGAATAAGACATCAAACTACACACACTTTAAATAAAGACAACAAAGAGTGTAAAGCAGTGAATGGGTCAAGGTCATTTCTTTTTGCAAAGTTAGTCGGGCTTCATCCTTGGATCATTTCAGCCGAATATCATGCCTTTGGGCCTTTTAGTTCAAGAGAAGAAGTCATTTAAAGGTTTCAACAAATCAAAACCCTGTGACCTTTAATATAGATCACAGTCATTTCTCTTCAGATGTCATCCTAAAAATATACCAGCCATATACCAAAACTTATGGTCCATTGGTTATTGAAAAAAGTTGTTAAAAAGAAAAAAGTTGACGCCCGACGCTGCATCATTGCATAAGCTAAAAAAAACCCTTGGCCCTTTGGGTCAGGTGAGTTAAAAAAAATTGTGTGAAGCTGTACGATGAAATCCTACCTCCAGCTGGTGTCCTGAAGTCTATGCTTGCAGACAAGTTATCTCCTTTGTTCTCACCAGTCAGACTTTGGGCAGATACAACTACATTGTGATCTGTATCAGAAACCAGTCCTGCAACCACGATATTAAAACAATATTACTTGATAATAAAGTGATCCACATACGATACTGAACCTGAAACTAAGAAGCTAAGACAATTATATACAATCTACTCTGAATACCTATTTAATGAAAACGTTCCAACAGGATCATAAACACTATTTAATGTGGAGCCTCATCCACATAAATGAAATGAAACGTAATGGAAGCTATCTGCAAGTTGGTAATGATGAAATATGTACACAGTAAACTCCAGATTTCACAACATGCAGAGATATACACTTATCAAGTCAACATACAGAATTAAATGGATTTAGTAAAACAACTTTTCATGTACAACTATTGGTACAACTGTTTATATATTATAATGTATCACTATGCTTGCAAAAGACTAGCAGCTGTCATGATATTATTAATTGTCATTATCATTTCATTAAATATCAATAAAAAATGTATCTACAAAAATATACAACATTACGTGGTCCTCGGGTCAGGTCATCGTTATCACTATATACAACATTACGTGGTCCTCGGGTCAGCTCATCGTTATCACTATATACAACATTATAGTTATCACTATATACAACATTATGTGGTCCTCAGGTCAGGTCATAGTTATCACTATATACAACATTATGTGGTCCTCGGGTCAGGTCATCGTTATCACTATATGCAACATTACGTGGTCCTTGGGTCAGGTCATCGTTATCACTATATGCAACATTACGCGGTCCTCGGGTCAGGTCATTGTTATCACTATATACAACATTACGCGGTCTTCGGGCCAGGTCATCGTTATCACTATATACAACATTACGTGGTCCTCGGGTCAGGTCATCGTTATCACTATATACAACATTACGTGGTCCTCGGGTCAGCTCATCGTTATCACTATATACAACATTATAGTTATCACTATATACAACATTATGTGGTCCTCGGGTCAGGTCATCGTTATCACTATATGCAACATTACGCGGTCCTCGGGTCAGGTCATCGTTATCACTATATACAACATTACGCGGTCCTCGGGTCAGGTCATCGTTATCACTATATACAACATTACGTGGTCCTCAGGTCATCAGGTCAGGTCATCGTTATCACTATATACAACATTACGTGGTCCTCGGGTCATCGTTATCACTATATACGTTATCACTATATACAACATTACCTGGTCCTCAACATTACGTGGTCAGGTCATCGTTATCAATATATACAACATTACCTGGTCCTCGGGTCAGGTCATCGTTATCACTATATACAACATTACCTGATCCTCGGGTCAGGTCATCGTTATCACTATATACAACATTACTTGGTCCTTGGGTCAGGTCATCGTTATCACTTTATACAACATTACGTGGTCATATCATCACTATCACTCTATATATTACGTGGTCTTAAGGTCAGATGTTAGCTATGTGAAGGTTCAATTATTATCATAATAAACTGCTTAATTTAAAAGACTTGCAGAATGATGAAAGTACAAAATTTGATAACAAAATTGAACACAAACTGAACCATGGTGATGTGTGATGGATTCAAGGAGGAGTAGGGGAGGGGGGAATTTTATGTATAACACATTCATCTGAAAACGTATTTGATTGAGATATATTTTTACCACTTGCTGAACAGAATGAAATCTGAACTCGTGAAATCTGAAGTTTATTGTATTTGAAAGTTGAAGCACATAAACTGAGAGTCAATTACATGTAAAAGAGAAAATGTAGGAGTTCTACAGTATTTGTTAATCATCTTTTGTTTTATACAGGACTTTTAAAGAATATTCAGAGTGAGGCTGATTTATTTAACTGGCTTAACATCTGCTCTAACAGCCTTTTGGCCTTTCAGCAGATGACGATTCTGATGACCTTTGCTGGTCTAATAAGTGCACCAACAAACAACCAATCAGTGACAAGTATTAGGGTGAGAGTAAAACACGCTACCTGTGATGATGTAAGTAAAGACACCGGGTTTTACCACTCGTGCCTCACGGCCATTTATGGAAAGGGTATGCTGATAATTACTGTTGCCTGGCAACCATGAGATTGTAGCAGAATTAGGTGTGATGTCACTAACACTCAGCTGACTAGGTATTGGCACGGCATCTGTTAGACAGAAAAACTGGTTAGTGAGCGCCCTCTAGTGACAGACGTTAATAAACTAAATATAGCAGCACAGATGATATTGTGTTTTAACACCTAGAGACATACAAGAAAATTTAAAGATTTTATTGTCATGAATACACACAGGGAGAACACAGAGTCCGCTGTCATAAAAATATTTCAAATTACTGAAGTACATTGATTGTGTGAATGATCTGAGTTAATAATACTTTGGATCATGTGTAACAATACCCAGACTTTCCTGTCTCAGGTGTAAAAGGCAGACATCAGATTACATAGCAGAACATATACAAAGGATTATCGTTTGATGGTAGGTCAGCGAGGCCAAATTATACAGATAGACATCTGTGATAATGCCATTTGTTTTTGTCTATGTTTAAAATTTGTAAAATCATGTTTTTCCTCAAGAAATATTTTAATTAAACTCTGAAGATGTTGAATTTAAAAAGAAAATAAAAGGGAAAAAAATAATACTTATATTATTACATTTACAGACCAAACATAAACTTAGTAAATTTGATTTTACAACAAATGCAAAACAAGTTTTTCCAACTTATATTAATCACTATTGTAGGGTCAGCAGGAAGCAGGTGAAGGGTCTTACTGTGGGAGGACAATGCGGTACCCAGGGAAAACCCATGTGGTTGGGCTGGTGCCTTAATACCTTTCACATCCATTCCCCGAATTAAACCCAAGACGCCTAGGTGAGTTAACAATGCACCAATCCTATACTTACTACTATATGTATGATTAGGTATAGTAAGCATATAGAAATAGCATACAATAGGGTGTAGGTATAGAATATATATAAGGTAAGCTTATATGGCACATCATAGCATTCTACATATAATAATCCCTATCAAACAGCCGCAAAAACCTTATTAACTTTGAATTACTATACACTGATGACATTACTTATATCTGATTTGAATCCATGTGTCTGTTTAAAAATATCTCCCATTTCAAGCAGATCTAGGTATAAAAGAAAGTAAGATTAAATTCTAAGCTAACTGGCAGTGATAGCTACCTTTGCCTAATAGTATTGTACACTGTTGGTCACAAGATTGACCAATGTTGGTTAGGCACCGGACACTGACTCGATGGACATTTCGAGAATCAACATTCTCCACTAATGCTTTCGTCCGTTCATTACTCTTGACACTGGCCTTGAAATCTCCGTCAACATAAATGTGATATGATTTCACCAGGACCTCCTCTGTAGGAGGACGCCAGCTTATCAAAATACTACTGGTCAACTGTCTGTCGAGGGTCAACTTATGAGGACACGGGATTCCTGAAATATTGAGACACCTGGATGTGAAGGCTTCACAACAAAAATCCAGCAACAGGTGCAAAAACAATATCTGTTGTGTACTTTTAGAAGTTAATATTGGTGTGAAGATTTCGGTCATATACAAAATATTACAATAAAAATTCTTTCTCAATCTGAAATGTTGAAAAAATATTGAAAATGAAGCAGAATTTTATTTTTTCGTTTAAATCAAATTTGCTATTTTTGGAAATATTTTTCTATGAGTTTTGTCCAAAATTAGTAGTTTCTTTTTTTCAAAATGTGGTTATGAAAGTATTTGGAAACTAAAGAGTTCCAAATGATTGTCCAATCAATAACCATTGCCCTAATCAATAGAATTTTGTCCCTTCAAAATAAAGCATTGAATACTGTTACTTGTTAAAGGAAACCACACAAAAAGGATGGAAAGCCATGCTATGTTGAATCAAATGTTTTCAAATCTTTCTCACCTGGTTTAGCATCAGGGGACTGGATTTTGGCGACGGAGGGCATACTTCGATTGGCGATTTCAGACTCAATCTCATCCAGGTCATTGTGAGTATGTGACAGAGGTGTGATAGTGTTTTTATGGTCTTGCACAGCTGCTAAATAGAACCCACAGAGTAATTAATATCAGATAAAAGGAAAGTATGATAAAATAACTACAGAGGTTTTCATAGAAAGTTTGTTTTAATTCAAATCTAAGCTATGGCAAAATTAATCATTCATTTTCTTTTCACTGAGAAATGAAATATCTTGATATTCATTACTAACTCGGCTAGATTGGAATCTGTCCTAGCCCAACTGTACAACATAGGGACCAGTATGTACTGGAGGACATATTGCCAATCACATCACCAGTGTAAACAATCAGTAAGAACAAGCATTTAATGATCACAAAGTAGTCTCCCATTATCTAACCTGATCAAATGTGTAACAATTTCTTATCTTAAAGATTTATTGTCAATGTTTTTTTTTCTTTTTTTTTTTCAATTACCCATTGAGGGCTTGTGAAAATTATGACTGCACAATAATGACTGCAAATATCTATGTTGTTCAAACTGGCTGATGGACAAGCCTGTATACGGAATTATTTCCCCTCTGTCACATCATTACTATTTACATCAATAATCTGTAGTAACAGTAACCAGGATTACAAGATATAACTGAATGAATGTCATATTTATTTATCAGGCAATAAACAATCATACAGGTTTCAGCAGCATTTTCAAGACAAACTAGTTATCCTTGATTGTAAAATAGCTCATAATGTTGGCACAATTTTTAACTGATGTGCCATTTTTTTAGATTTTTTTTATAAATTTCAGAAGCAAGGAAAGAGTACTAGTAATATCTAGTCATGGCACTATGTTTGAACACAAGCCAAATGGTTCTTCAGTCATTTAGGTAATGTGAAAACATTTGAAGATCGCCTTAATGGAGCTTAAATCATGCGATTACATTCAAGAACAAAGTTTTGTTGTATAACTTCAACTTCTGTTTAGTCATGTGACTATAATCTAGTGAGGTTTTTAGTCACGTGACTTCATTTTAGCAATGTTTTTAGTCATGTGACTATATCTTAGTGAGGTTTTAGTCATGTGACTTCATTCTAGTGAGGTTTTCTAGTCATGTGACTATATACATATCTTAGTGAGGTTTTTAGTCATGTGACTATATTTGAGTGAGGGTTTTAGTCATGTGACTATATTTAAATGAGGTTTTTAGTCATGTGACTATATCTCTGAGAGGATTTTAGTCATGTGACTACATTTTAGTGACATTTTTAAGTCATGAGATTATCTATGAAGTATCTCTATTAACACTTTGGTGATTCCATGGTATCATGACCACAATTTAACCCAGACGGGATAGTTTGATGGTTTCATGACCATGTTTAAATAGTGACCTATTTTGACAAGTCCAGGTAAATAGTGACCTGTTTTGACAGGTCCAGGTAAATAGTGACCTGTTTTGACAGGTCCAGGTAAATAGTGACCTGTTTTGACAGGTCTAGGTAAATAGTGACCTATTTTGACAGGTCTAGGTAAATAGTGACCTATTTTGACATTTCCAGGTAAAAAGTGACTTGTTTTGACATGTTCAGGTATATAGTGACCTGTTTTGACAGGTAAATAGTAATCTGCTTTGACAGGTCTAGGTAAATAGTGACCTATTTTGACAGGTCTAGGTAAATAGTGACCTATTTTGACAGGTCTAGGTAAATAGTGACCTATTTTGACATTTCCAGGTAAAAAGTGACTTGTTTTGACATGTTCAGGTATATAGTGACCTGTTTTGACAGGTAAATAGTAATCTGCTTTGACAGATCCAAGTAAATAGTGACCTGTTTTGGCAGGAAGAGGTTTTTCGTCAGTTTCCTCACTGCTGTCAAAATCCAGATCCTGTAGTATACTGCTGGGAGCATTGCTGTCATCTTCGTGGTGGGCAAAGCCTGCCACGGCAGCGTGGAAATCGGCAAGGTCTTCATCTACAAATAAGTGTAAAAATGGATAACTTTGTAAACAAAATCCTGTAAATTCTTTTATCTTTGGAAATAGGAGATGAATCTGTCATTTCCAAATTATATCTGTACTGTATGTACAGCAATCTGGACCTACCTTTCACTTTCTCAATGAAGTTGGATGGTACTAATCCTCTTCGACCATCTATCAGTTCACCATCGTAAAAGGCATCCTGTCAGGGAAAGGAAGCTTTTATTACAGAAATCTTTTGTAAATGGAGAAAAAAGAAATTAAAATGGAAATTACATTTTTTTTTATCACTACATATCTAATTTGTTGACAAAAACGTTGCAAAGGTAAAAGAAGGTTTGATCAAAAGACAGAACGGAAAGTGAAGAAAAACTTTATATATCAACTGACAGATCTATGCAACTGGTTACAATCTTGTGTGGAAACTAGTCAGGTGTATTTTGTGGAACAACAAGGTACCCACACAGCCTACCAGCCAGTGACTGTCTTTCACATCACTCATGCTCAAAGTCTTTTGATTTTATGTGCATGCTTTCGTATGCCTTTGAATCATTTCTTAATATTGATAAAATTTGTTTTTGAAGCTAACTAAACAGGATCATTGCGATGAGTGGAGCTGGTAGCAGGAGTTGTGTAGGTAATCAATCGGCCCAGTGGACTATTGATCAGTAGGGCAGACCAAATTAGTTACAAAGTACAGCAGCAATGTTAGCCCTTTAGTAAGCATAATTAGAAAGGCAAATCTCCAATATCTTCCTCCACACTCATTTCCATATACATAGCCACGGACGTCCTCAAGCTTATCGAGATCCTGACATTTAAGGACAAACAATTATGTGATTACTTTAGAAAATGTTCAAATATTCATTCAGACTCATTTTATGTGTAGTTATTTCCTCTACAAGAGCAATAATAAACCAATTTCAAAACAGAGAAAAAATGACTACTTGTTGTGTTCAGTGTTATTGTGACCTTTAAACTTGTTGAGATACACAAACACTCCAAATCTCATTAACAAAACAGCAATATGTTGATTTAAACAACAATACATATATGTCTAAATTAATGAGCTTAAATGTCTGCTAATAATATGATCCCCTTGTCCTTCTATATAAACAAATAAACTGCTTACAATTATACATTGATAGAAGCACTTGTTAACAAAACCAAGAAATTTTGACCAAGTTTCTCTATGAATAACACATTTTGAAACAAGCTATTCGACTCTGCCTTGTGCATACTGAATTGTTACAGGATCTATTAACAAAAACAAGAAAATTAAACCATATATCTATATAAATGACACAACTTGAACCAAGGCCAAGGACACCATGCAGTGATAGCTGGTGTATAGTAGGGTACCTGGACAGTTGATAAAAACACTCTATAGTTAATGGGTTGCAGCCATTGATTATACTCGTGAATCAGCTCCATACATTTATTCACATGTTGAAGCTTCCTGCAGTACAGTACGACACACAAGATTTTATCACTTAATGATCCCAGCTGATTATGGTCTGTGTTGTGAAGAAACCCACCAAAAATGTTGAGTCAGAACTTCCCTTGTATTTCAACTCAGTCAACTGTACATAATAGGCTTAAAACAGAATCAGCAGAAATAACAGTCACTTATATGGAGATGTGTTCAGTTCATTTAGAATATTAAATCTCTAGGAAAGCCTATCAAATTCCACTCTCAGTTGTAATCTGATTGGAATAAGATTGATGTATTTGAGTTACAGTCGTATTTTTTTTTCTCTCTGAAGTTTTATTTTGTATTGACTACAGAAGACTTTTGACTGATTGCAATGTTTTAGGAACATAGTCAAACTAATATTTCTGAGAAAAATCAAAGATATCATTTCATATTAACTAGCTAGACGTTTAAACAGGTTGTAGTGCCGTGGAATAATAATTTTAAACATACAGAAGGGAACTTTTGTTTTGTAACCACACCAAGGATGATAACACACTTGTACATAATAACCCACTTTTAACAATATTAACTGTATTAACTTTTTAACAATACCACAGATATATAACCCAGTTTTATCCATACCCTGGACAATAACCCAGTTTTATCCCTACCCTGGATAATAACCCAGTTTTATCCATACCCTGGATAATAAACCAGTTTATCCATACCCTGGATAATAACCCAGTTTTATCCATACCCTGGACAATAACCCAGTTTTATCCCTACCCTGGATAATAACCCAGTTTATCCATACCCTGGATAATAACCCAGTTTATCAATACCCTGGATAATAACCCAGTTTATCCATACCCTGGATAATAACCCAGTTTATTCATACCCTGGACAATAACCCAGTTTATCCATACCCTGGACAATAACCCCGTTTATCCATACCCTGGATAATAACCCAGTTTAACCATACCGTGGATAATAACCCAGTTTTATCCATACCCTGGATAATAACCCAGTTTATCCATACCCTGGACAATAACCCAGTTTATCCATACCATGGATAATAACCCAGTTTATCCATACCCTGGATAATAACCCAGTTTATCAATACCCTGGATAATAACCCAGTATTATCCATACCCTGGACAATAACCCAGTTTATCCATATCCTGGATAACAATATATATTTAACGATACCATGAGTAATAAACCACTTTTGCCATACCGCAGATATGAATCAAATTTTAACCATATCATGATAATGGCCGAGTTTTTACCGCCACAGGTAATAACTTAGACAACATAGGTAATAACATAGTTTAACTATATCACAGGTAATAACTCAGGTTTAGACAACATAGGTAATAACATGGTTTTAACCTTATCACAGGTAATAACCCAGTTTCAACAATATCATAGGTAATAACCCAGTTTCAATCATACCACAAAATAACCCAGTTGTTACCAGCGTCCAGATTTTATTATCAACTCCTTACCTCATCCATATCTCCATATACTAGTAAGTAGTCACCAGTATTGATAGGTAGCTCTGCATCTGGGTTTTCATTGGGTGAGTGTTGGAAGGGGTCATAGGTGTATTTGGCAATGTACACCTGTAATGGGCCTTTCATGCCCAATCCTGACCGGCGGCTATCTTCACCAGAATGGCCATTTTCCACCGGTTTTACCTGGTTAGCAATACAGAACAATGAGTCTGTCTTTTTACAATAAAATGTTTGTTGAAGTTGTTGTGGCAAAAAAAAAAAACTTTGAAGGAAAATTATGTTTGAGGCCGTTTCATAATCATTTTTTCCCAGAAAAGAAAATTTTATTCAAAGAAATAAATAAATTGATATCTAAATAATATTGTCTGGCTGATAATACAGCAATGTACACCAAATAATTGGTGTGTTTATAGGCATGGTTCCAATAGCTGTTTAAAATGGTTGATTCTCTTCAGCTATGTACAGATTATAATGTGAAAAAGAAAAAAAATTAAAAATGGAACTTTTCTAGCTGAATTTGTTTAATGAAATTTGACACTAATCTTCCAGTTGACTGTAATTACTGTCATATACAGTAAAATTAATCAGAGTTTGATCTAATAATACCTTTTTATATTATACTTTTCATAAAAAAAGTTTTCTATGAATGTGTTATACTATCATCAATCACCAAATATTCTTCTGTTAAAAGAAAAAAACTAATGTAAAAGTATTGTCTGTTTTCTTAAATATCCACATCAAATTCCAAAATGTGTAATTACTAATTATCTGGTTCTATAAACCTGTGGGTGTACCTTCGTTAACCCGCTCAACTGAATGCCTCTTGGCAGCAACCACAATGCTAATGAAGGTATTAGCATCGTGAGATTATACTGCCGGTAGCTGTAACAGTGCACAACAATGGGCAGTGAGCTTTTCACCTTGATTATGTCATCCATCTAATGAAATCTGGCGGAAGCTTGAATTTTTTTTACCTATACTTCTAACTTATGGTCATGCTGTTATTCATATTGCTATGGAAACAAGTTTGAATGGGACATGGAAATTTATAACAAGGTACACATTATCATGCATCAGGAAGTCAATAAACACACACCTATACAGGTCTCTGATAAAGAAATGTACTTATAGGAAAAAAACTGGTTCCTGAGAAATATCTTGTGCAATTCTCACACTTTTATTCTCGGACTTCCTTTCATCTAATATCCATTACAATGGAATAGGGAGGATAAAACAAGTCATGTGGACAATTTCTGTCGTTGCTCATAACGCGAAGCTGATGAAGTAGAAAAAATTCTAACCCAGATTATACACAGTGAGTAAGCATTGATTACCCGTAATATATTTCAAAGGAATTGCCTGATGGACGAATGTGCTACCAGGGAGCTCACTGGATAAAACATGGTACAACGATCTACATAATTGATTTACATTAAAAAAAACTCATATGTTTTCTTAGATTTAACACATTTAGGATGAATGACCCTAACGTACTTAAAACCTGCAAGTACAAACTAAACAGGAAATACTTATATATTTCATAAGAAATTGAGATATACATGTAACGAGCCAATGTCTGGTCGTCTAACATGTGGTCAGAGAGGTTCATATACAAGAGTATTCTAATGGGTCCTCAAGGAAGAGATCTTATATAGATTTTATTGTACATGTATATCATTAATGTATGTTTGGTGCATGATGTTTTAACAAGATAATTTTATCTCATACGACGCAAAACTAGATTTTGAAATTTTTAAATGCTGATCAGAAGTAATGAAATATCATGTGATTCTGGCTTTTTAGCATGTTTTAAGTAGGTCATGATATAGCGGGTATCAGGTGGACTTAATATGATTCCTTATTTCTCATATACTATCCAAAGTTCTTATAAAGTTTTCATAATCTGTGTGATCAAAAAGCTTTACAATAAACTTAAACATGTATTGCAATTTCTTACTCTGTTTTTAATTATTCTCTAATTCAATGTACAATATCAGACAATGTATAAATATAGTGCCAAGGTATCAGTACAATTCCAAGGTGGAAAAATCTTAGTTTCATCAAATATCAAAGTATGAATAGTGATCTAAATTAATGCTTAAAACTATAATACTTACCCGCATTTCTCGGTTACTTTCCATACCGGAGTCGTCTCCCTTCTCTGTAAATAGACAGCATTGCCAAAAATGAATTGGCATTCTATTTCTAATATGTGTCTTAATTTTTTCACAATTAATTGATAAATTCTTTCATAATTTGATGTTATACACAAATTTATGACCTGTGAAAAACAGTGCACTAAGAGAACTGACTCCAGATGACGTTGGAAACCTATAGGTAAATAGCTGAAAAGATGTTTGATAATAACTGTGTATCTGTGAAAATTACCACAAATTCACATTCATGAAATGAATAGTAAATGTCAAAAAGTAAAAATGTCTAGAACATCTGTTTGACTGTGGGCATATACACAAATACTTAAAACATTACACATGTGTAATGTAAGTGCTTGAGGTCAAACATGAACAAATACCTACTTCAATACTATTGTATATATACAAATTCTATAAAGTACATATATCTTACAGTAGATATTTTGATATATTTTTACCTATCTATAATCAATAATGACATAAAACTGACACATGGTAAACCCTTGTCACCCATTCTCCATCCTTACACCTTGCATTCCTGCCAATTGATTTTCACTAATTTAATCAGAATATTTTCAGTTAGAACATCCTCAGGCTAGATACATGATTCTATTGATACCCTGCTGGTTTCTCTCATTGATTAGGTTGACCTTCAGGTCTGATCATGATGTAATTATGACAATTTTTTTTTAGAAAAATGAAAATCTCACATGAAAAAGTGGTGGATGATTTTGAATATCCTACAAATCTGATTTATGCCTTTTATTTTATATGGAATAAAGGATTTTCAGCCGTAAATACCACACAGAGTTGTAAACATACTGAGCAAAGCACCACAACTATCATGTGACATTCATGGGTACTACTCATCAGGGTAACTAACTTTTTGAAAAAAACTCTCCGTGCAATTAATTGTATGAAAAATACTCTTAAGGGAATTAATTGTACTGAAAATGCTCTCAGGGTAAATAACTTTACTGAAAATACTCTCCAGGCAATTAACTGTACTCTCCGGGCAATTAACTGTACTGAAAATACTCTCAGGGGAACTAACTGTACTGAAAATACTCTCAGGGGAACTAACTGTACTGAAAATATTCTCAGGGAGAACTAACTGTACTGAAAATACTCTCAGGGAAACTTATTCTACTGAAAAAACTCTCAGGGGAACTAACTGTACTGAAAAAACTCTCAGGGGAACTAACTGTACTGAAAATACTCTCAGGGGAACTAACTCTAATGAAAATATTCTCAGGGAGAACTAACTGTACTGAAAAAAACTCTCATGGGAACTAACTGTACTGAAAATAATGTTAGGGGAACTAACTGTACTGAAAAAACTCTCAGGGGAACTAACTCTACTGAAAATATTCTCAGGGAGAACTAACTGTACTGAAAAAAACTCTCAGGGAAACTAACTGTACTGAAAAAAACTCTCAGGAGAACTAACTGTACTGAAAATACTCTTAGGGGAACTAACTCTAATGAAAATATTCTCAAGGAGAACTAACTGTACTGAAAAAAACTCTCAGGGGAACTAACTATACTGAAAAAATTCTCAGGGGAACTAACTCTACTGAAAATACTCTCAGGGGAACTAACTATACTGAAAATACTCTCAGAGGAACTAACTGAACTGAAAAAACTCTCAGGGGAACTAAATCTACCGAAAGTATTCAACTCATTCCAAATCCCATTAATTCTCCTGATGGTAACATATATTACATGAAATGTATAAAATTAATGATGTGAAATTAATCACTCTAAAGGAAATATGTTTTGATCATTTGAAATATTTGATAATAACTCAGATATCATCAGTCTTCAATTTCTGTACAGCTTTTCTTGTAATGCAAAACGACTTTCCTCCATTGTGCATGACGATTAATCAAATAAAATTCATTTTGTATTAAGTAGTCTATTTTCTGATGAAATCTTATGTGTACACCTTCAAAACAAAATGGTACGCAATTTAGTCATATTTTAAAAATAAAATGAAATCAATATGTAAACAGGAGACCAATACACTTTTTTTGTCATATTTTTATGTTGTTTCATCTTGTCCAGAAAAACACTAACACCATACCTGTTTCTGTTGGTCTACAGATAATCCAACATTTTGACATAACCTTCAGGATGTGTTAACACATTCCCATATAATATATTGGTCAGAATTTCAATTGTCTTGGCTACAAACTGTACTAGGATATGAATCAGCCCTTGAAATGACCCACAGTAGTATTGAGATGGCCATTTAGACAAACTTAAAAACAAGCAAATTTATAATGATATGCGATAGGGCTTATAACACAGCCGAAAGTGAGTTAAGGAAAAAAAGGTTTGAAGGAAGTTGACTTAAGAATATATGCTACACATACCAAAATGTGATCTGTACTTTTTTCTACAAAAATTTCATCTTAGGAAATCTTCATATGACATTTTGATTGAAGTTTTGACTTAACTTTCATTTACTGACAACTCACTGAACAGTTATCAAGAAATGCTGGCATGATTTTTCTTTTTCAAGTATGATGAACTGTATTCGTTGCCGTAGCATTAAATATGGTTGAAATAGAATACATGATCAAGGGAGATAACTCTAACACATTAAAACAAATGTATGAAATAAGGTAGCATATATTCTTAAAAACAGTGCTAAAAGTTTATGTGCAAAGTTAGCGAACATTCAGGTTTGCTGATAGAAAAGCAACAAAGTCCTTTAGGGAGATGGTGAAAGCCGAATCTATACCTGATGATGTGTAAAGTAACAGTATCTCTTTTCATTCAGCACTAGACTGGTTAATCAAACTAAAAATACCCTTGAATGCCAATATGGCTTTATCTTTTATTTACATAAAAAATTTAAAAAACACAAAAAGTTTATCTTTCTTTAATTTAAATAAAAAATCTTGAATTTAATTGATTCTCCTACAGTGATTTCAAAGGATTTTGTAAAAATCTGTCATCTTATCATGATAACTGAAAATTCTATTTTTGTTTCGTATCAGGTGTTTATTTGCTCAATGCTCCCACATGTAGCTTTATTTGACTTGGCAGGTGAATCGACATCACAGGTAGATGACAAGTGATGGGCATTAGATTAAGACGTTATTACACAATCTACTGCATGCTGTTGCTTAATAAAGAATCACTTATCACTAACACCCACAACAGACTGGACTAATACTCTCTTAAATCTCTGCATTAATTTTTTTAAAAACTATCCCCATCAACAGATACAAGGGTATAGCAGAGTAAGTTTCCATTTAAAAACAGATTTTTAATGTTTTGAAACAATTATTGTCGCACATTATAATTCTGATTATTTTTTGTAATTTTTCATGCATTTTTTTTATCATTTTTTTCACCAATTTCACAAATTTTTATATAAATTTTGTTCAGAAGTTTCAACTCTTGAAAGAAGACTTCAGTAACGTGCTCATAGTCAAAGAACTGGAGAGTTAACATCAAAATGTTTTCATGAACTGTATTACAGCTATAGTGTAACTATATCTTCAAGTTATTAACTTAAATATTTCATAAATATAATTTGAGATACAGGTAGAGATTTTGACTTCTGATCAGATTTTGGGTACAAGTATTTGTTTAAATAATGTCTCCCTTCGAACCGCTCCATCCTCACTCTCTCTATATACAATGCACCACGCCAGTTAGTGTCACCTTCTGTCGGTAAATTTTCCTCCTCCGAGTCAGCAGCTTCCAGTTCTGTAAGTTTTTTAGCTATTTCGTAAAGTTCAGGGTCCTCGTAGGGCCCTGGAGGGGGTTGGGCCTGGTCAGGGGAGGGTTCATTTGAATTTTCTAATTCAACAGTATCGTCGTCCGCAAAACCTGAGACCAAAAATAAATATATGCATGCTATAAAGAAACTATACCTCCACCATCTTGTCATTACTTCTGTGATATATGTATATGGTTTGGTGTTGGTATGAAACTTCCTGGCTATAAATGGCATGCTTCCACAGACTAGACCTAACTGACTTCAACTCTATAGACTAATATGTAATCCATTTTCAAATTTTGATTTCAGAATGGTTATTAGATCTTTTGATAAATATTTCTTAATCATACTTATTGCTCTATTTGATACATAATCACACACAAAAAATAGGAGGGGGGGGGGGGGGGGGGTGTTATAAAAATAAAATACCAATGGCTCCTGCTTTTAAACTCATCTGAACTAGAGAAACAGTTGGAATTTAATTAAACACAATGGTGGATATTGTTAGTTCAAAATCAAATCAAGCCATGATATTTCATACCAAGTCAGGTATAAACTAAATATATACAAGTGGAATTTGAGAATATGTTTCAACCATCTGCACGGACAAAAAAAAATGTACCATTGGATCAGATCACAATAAAGATTCCATGACAGTGAGCCAAACATTTTATATACTGACACATACTTTAAAGCAAAATGAAAGCTTTAAAAATGGCTGACATGAGATTAGGAATGACACAGAGAATAAGACTTTTAGAAGATTGCAGTAGTGAGTTAATAAGAAAAATTGGGATAAATACAAAACATTAGGAAAAAGTAATTCATTTGAAAAGTTAAGAATTCTTGAATTAAACATTGGAGGAAAAATTAATATATGATAAAGGAAGATAAGAATTAAAATAAAATATTATTTTCTAATTTCAAATTTAGAATGTAAAAAAATAATGACCAATGATAAAAAACATGAGAGAATTGAACTTTTATAGAATTATGATCAAGCAATCTGATGGTCAGTCATGGTATATGAGACTGACCACATAGCTTTATAATGACTTAGTGGACATGCGGGTATGACAGAAAACTACAGCATTAGCAGAATTTCAGGCAGGCTGTACTGGTTGGCTTTGTATTTATCACTTAACAATTGATTTGATGAGGCTTATAATGAATTAATGTTCCCTACAATGTCACATTTGTGAAACCTGATTAATTCATGGATCCATACTGATGTTTTGTCACCAAAAACAAATCAATCATTTTTTAATATGAAAATGCCTTATAAGGGATATAGAAATGAGACAAGGGATAAAGAAATCAGAGTTATGTGGCATACTCCAAATACAAATTTTGTAACATGTTTAATATGGTAAACATGCCAGCACCTATATTCCAGAAGGCATGCAGTCTTCCACCAGCATATTTTGCCAACCCCCAGGACCTTGGTCTACACCAGTATATCCCATTGGCCCGAGAACCTGACACCACATCATAATAGATGAGAATAAATATATAACTGTCCCTTTGTTAGAATAGCTGTAAACAAAAGACAGATGTTTTAATCTTAACTTAACACTGAGATTAACAAAACTTAAGCTCTGCAGTGCTTTTTCTTTTGACCAACACTGAAGTTAAGGTGTACAACATCACCCAATCAGTACCATGAAGTGGTGATAATTTATAAGTATTTTCCTACCTGTATCAAGTGACTTTGTAGAGTCCACCTGCGTATTATCACTTCCATTTACTAACTTTCCTGGTAATGATTCTTGAGAATTGATGTTTGTTGGATGGAAATTTTCTGAAAAATAAAAATGAACTAAAATCAAAATAACCCTATGAGTGTATTTGTCTCACTAAATCACTTATACAATATCAGAGTATTCTATATCACTTCTTACAGGTAATCTTTTATCATTCCTGTTGGCTATACATACCATGGACTGGACTTCTTATTGCAGAAGAGTTGTGAGGGTTGTTATTGTGCTTTTTTCCTGAGTTATCTCCTCCTGGATGTGATATGTGTGCCCAATTGTCCACCAGGTGGTGCTGATTGGTTGCCGCCTGAAGAGTTTTCAATTCCTGTGTAAGCTCTAAATGTTGTTGTTCTTGTTTATGACAGCTTTCTTTGAGCTCTTCAATCTTATTCTGAAACATTGTCATGGTCAGAGCTTACAAATGGTAAACCTTATTCTGAAACATTGTCATGGTCAGAGCTTACAAATGGTAAACCTTATTCTGAAACATTGTCATGGTCAGAGCTTACAAATGGTAAACCTTATTCTGAAACATTGTCATGGTCAGAGCTTACAAATGGTAAACCTTATTCTGAAACATTGTCATACAAATGGTAAACCTTATTCTGAAACATTGTCATGGTCAGAGCTTACAAATGGTAAACCTTATTCTGAAACATTGTCATGGTCAGAGCTTACATATGGTAAACCTTATTCTGAAACATTGTCATGGTCAGAGCTTACAAATGGTAAACCTTATTCTGAAACATTGTCATGGTCAGAGCTTACAAATGGTAAACCTTATTCTGAAACATTGTCTTGGTCAGGGCTTACAAATGGCTAGTCCTATTCTGAAACATTGTCATGCTCAGAGTTTACAAATGGCTAGTCTTATTCTAAAACATCGTCATGGTCAGAGCTTACAAATGGCTAGTCTTATTCTAAAACATCGTCATGGTCAGAGCTTACAAATGGCTAGTCTTATTCTGAAACATTGTCTTGGTCAGACTTTACAAATGGTTAAATATTGGTTTCTAGTTTAGTATTTACATGTGATGAGACACAGGTGTGATGCCTAGTTCACTATTTAACTTAAATAAGGTAAACTGGGAACCATGCCTTAGTTAAGTATTTACCTGTAACGAGGTATACTAGGAGCCATGCCTTAAGTAAGTATTTACCTGTAACGAGGTATACTAGGAGCCATGCCGTAGTTAAGTATTTACCTGTAACGAGGTATACTAGGAGTCATACCTTAATTAAGTATTTACCTGTAATGAGGTGTACAAGGAGTCATACCTTAATTAAGTATTTACCTGTAATGACGTCACAACCTCTTCATGATCTTTGGATTTAATATCTTGGTCCTGAAAAATAAAAATAATAAAACATTAATACATTTTACTAAATCATCCTTAAATTTGCTTCTTTATTTGTGAACAGTGAAATAATTCCTTGCCTGAATCATGGACACAAATCTGCTCTGCTTTAAAGTCGATATTCCTGGAATATTACATTATGTAATTCTGAAGTTATTACTTCAGTTCACCTGTCAGCTTCTCTCCTGTCTATAATCTTCACTTTGTGGACAATGTTGGAACACCACAAATATCAAAGAGCAATATTTAATGTTTTCTACCATTTAATCAGAAATTTTTTTTACTTCAATATAGATTTGATTCATTACCCACGCTTCTTCACAAACTGAGCATTTTGACAATTTACCACAAATGTTCATTTTCCATATGATACCAAATCATGCAACTGTTTCATCGCATTAAGGAGAAAACGCCTACGTGAGGCTCACCTGTACCACATCACTGCTCTGACATGTTCTCCGATGACAAAAGGCTTTTAATTTGAGATAACCATCTCTAAAGCTAATTCAGCAGAAACTTATTTCCATTTTCTGGCGTTGAGTTGTTAAAATGTAGGCATGGAACTCATCAAAATAAACAGGTATTTTATTCTATTTTAGACATTTTCATGCCATCATCAACTGAACTATAGACTATTGCTGTGTAAGATTATGAAAAAGGAAATCACCACAGACAGAACACACATCAATGTCATCCTAAAGCTAAAACACATTTTTTTGCCATCTGCTTGAAAACGACAAACGAATGTAAAAACCTTATATATTAAAATCCTATATTGAAGAGGAAACACAGCTTCATAATCTTTCAATCTGACACTTTTTATTAGATAAGTCAATATTGTTTCAGCTGTCAGTAAAATATTTTCTTTGTTATAATTTTTACTGACTTGACTCAATATGATATATTATGATCTGATTGTTTATTGAAACAATTGTTCCCTTGACAATTATGTAGGATGTGTATTCCTGTGAGGATTTCGGAGTGTCATGACATTTTCTGACCTAAACTTTCCCATACCAAATAGTTACAAAAAGTTATACTTATTAAGGTACAAAAAAAGTTTTAACTTTTAATGCTAGATTGGAACCATTTTAGATCAGGGTTCCAATCTAGTACTAAAAAGTTACAAAAAGTCCAGAATAGATTTCAAAAGTTGTACCTAGCATTTAACTCCAGAAAAGTTACATTGAAAAAAAAAAAAAAAAAAATTTCTGGTACTAACAAGTTGGAACTTTTTGTACTCTATTTTGGTATGGGTTGTTACAGTATTTTCTGGACTTATGTAATGACAACATTTTCTGATTTTGACAAAACAATTATGTAGGATAAGGGTACCTTCTGAAGTGTGAGGATTTCGGACTGTTTTTCGTGAAGCTTCTGTTTTGTTGTTTGGTAGTCATTCTCTAAATTTGTTAATTTGTCAGCTGATTCTTGTAATGTCTACAACAAAGAAAGATGCAATAATCAGAGCACATCAACTATGAGACAAAATGATTTATAATTACTCCCATTGACCTAACAGAGGTTTTAACACAATACCTGGAGAAATCAACATGGTGCGAATGTGACCCGATACCTTTACATGATTTATGATACGAACCCCTGTGCCATCATGGATAAAGACGATTACACTATCCACTGTGCCACCTACCCATCCTATTAATCACATCTTTCCTCTAATTCATAATCAATATGTGATTTTCAATGCATTTTAACAACTACACAATGTATATTAGGATATCTGTAGCAGTAATGAATGTATGATACACTGTACTGTCCTTAACACACAACTTGTAGTTACACTGACAAATCGCTGTTATTTTTATCTGATCCGAGAACTTTGCCAAATAGTAAGTAGATAGTAAACACTCTATACAATTATTCACAACTTCAGTCACAGTTTTGTTACTCACCTTGACAACACTTTCAAGGTCATGAACTTTGGTTTGGAGAGTATTTCTTTCATTCCTAGCAATATCACATTCGTGTTGTGCTTCTGTGAGGTTCAAGCGTAACACATTACATTCTTCATTAACCTGGAAAATATAAAGTTAGCAGTTCTGTAAGTTTAAATATCTATGAGTTCACAAAAGCTGTGTAACACCACAGGTGTTAAAGGAATAGTGCCAACAGAAGTCAGAATGAAGGTGTTGAAGCTACATTTCCAATGTTAAAGCTGTGCTCTATGTTATGATAACAATATATGTGACTGTCTCTGAAAATGTCAAAATGTTCATATATCAATGAACATTAAGTTTATCAATGCTCCTTATGATGCTAAACAGCACTGCTGATGATAAGATACTTTACAGAATAATACATTTTGATGTATGAATTTAAGTTGGTGATAAGAGAAGATGGATAAGGATGAAAAGAAGTAGCTGTAATAATTTGACAAAACTGGCAAACTTTATTCCCTGAAATGGAGGCAGTTGATGATTATAACATAGTAGGGTCAGCCATAAGTTAAATATGTAAACATATTGTTAGGAATGAAGGCAGGTGAACAAGGGTGAAAAACAGTTGTAGTACTTATATATTGGCAAAGTTGACAACCTGCATTTAATTTCCTAAAATGCAATTTCTTGAAAGACCTTAGGACAGAACACATTTAGATCTAACTGATGAAATATCTATTCCAGTGGTCTCTAATCATTCCTATATTTTACTGGGTATAAACCTACAGGGGCAACTGCACTGAGAATGTGTAAAAGTGGAGATGGGGCTATTCCCAAATAATGGCTTTACAAGAAGGAAAATATTGGGTGCCATCTTGGAATATGATATTTGAAGATATCTGTATCAGTATGTAAGAATGAAATATTTTATGAAAAGTAAAGCAATATATTGTTTTACCAGGTAGAATCAGCTGACAATTAAAGGTATAATTATACCAGGTAGGCTGTTAAGGATCTTCCATATATATACTGATACTGGTCTATCACTTAAATATCAATAATATGGTGAGAAACAGGTTATCAAAATCTTATAGATCAGAAAGAGAAAGTCAGATCTCCCATACAAGTTTGGTTGAATTATGGGTCACATATCAATAAAACTGTATACAAATATTTTTTCAGTCTATTATGGTAACAATTGAAATCCAAACCTTATACAGATATCTATAAATATTGATGAAAATATAAAGAATATGGTACTGTAAATTTATTTTCATGGATTTTAAAACTCAGAGGAGACAGATTGGTTAATTCTGAATTATCATATATGTTACAATGATAATCTTATACTTGATTGAAAAAAAAAAAAAAACAACGTACCTGTTCAATATTTTTCAGACGTAAATATAATGTTGACAAAGATCCATGAGATTTGACACTTTTTAGAAAACTGGGTAACATATTTACAAACCACCAAGTATGGTTTATAACTAACCTTATCATCTTGGATATTGTTTGAACATTTCATTAGTACAGAAATGACTTAATATGTACGATCTGATCAGGGATAGAAATAAAACAGATCCTAGATGTCCTAGACAAGCCAGATCTCAGGTTCCAAGCTTCCATGTGACACAGTTCTACTGTAAACCTGTATAAACAATATACAGCTGTATTTTCTGCTTTATGTCAAAGTCCAGATTGACCTCAGGCATCCTGCAGGTCTGACAACAATGAGTAACGTTATATAAGGGAACCATTCTACACCTGTATTTACCACCTGTGATCAGATCAGAATGAAAGAAATCGGTAGTGTAGTATTGTAAATACTACAATTGTTATATGTTAATAGACTTGTACACCTGAGGGTATATAAAAATAATTAACTTTACATTATCATGTAGGGCCATGACAAACAGGATACAAATATGGATTCCTTAATCACAAATATTTAACAATCACATCATTTTCAGCTGTAAAGAAATTTAACATTTTTTGTACTTTTAGTTTTTAGAATATATTTCACAGGTAAATATTTCATTCTTACAATCTATTAACCTTTTTTCTCTTTTACTTCCATATTGACAATGTATAGCTAGGTACATTTTCAGGCTTCATGTGTAATTTTCAAACAAAAGAAAGATTTTATAATCAGTTTTTCCACATAAATCAATGAAGTTGCTATATGACTCTTTGAGAGATCATACAACTGAAGATGTATGTATGTAATTATGACATCACGGCAATATGAGCCATGGGGTAGCCTTAAGGGATGGTTCTCCAACACTGTTAGCCAATACATAGACTTAAGTGATGGTTCTCCAACACTGTTAGCCAATACATAGACTTAAGGGATGGTTCTCCAACACTGTTAGCCAATAGATAGCTTTACAGGATGGTTCTCCAACACTGTTAGCCAATACATAGCTTTACAGTATGGTTCTCCAACACTGTTAGCCAATACATAGACTTAAGGGATGGTTCTCCAACACTGTTAGCCAATACATAGACTTAAGGGATGGTTCTCCAACACTATAAGCCAATACATAGCTTTACAGGATGGTTCTCCAACACTGTTAGCCAATAGATAGCTTTACAGGAAGGTTCTCCAACACTGTTAGCCAATACATAGCTTTACAGTATGGTTCTCCAACACTGTTAGCCAATAGATAGCTTTACAGGAAGGTTCTCCAATACTGTTAACCAATACATAGCTTTACAGGATGGTTCTCCAACACTATAGACCAATTCATAGCTTTACAGTATGGTTCTCCAACACTGTTAGCCAATAACCAATAGATAGATTTAAGGGATGGTTCCAATAGATAGCTTTAACACTGTTAGCCATGCTTCACAGTTCATAGACTTAAGGGATGGTTCTCCAATACTGTTAGCCAATACATAGCTTTACAGGAAGGTTCTCCAATACTGTTAGCCAATACATAGCTTTACAGGAAGGTTCTCCAATGCTGTTAGCCAATAGATAGCTTTACAGGATGGTTCTCCAACACTGTTAACCAATAGATAGACTTATGGGATGGTTCCCCAACACTGTCAGCAATGAGACTGCCTAGAAATGGCACCCCAGCTACCTGTATGCCACGAGACAAATAAGGGATGGTTCCCTAGCACTGTCAGCAATGAGACTGAATAGAAATGGCACCCCAGCTACCTGTGTGCCATGAGACAAATAAGGGATGGTGCCCTTGCATTGTGAGCAATGAGACTGCCTTGAAATGGCACCCCAGCTAACTGTATGCCATGAGACAAATAAGGGATGGTACCATTGCATTTTGAGCAATGAGACTGCCTAGAAATGGCACCCCAGCTAACTGTATGCCATGAGACAAATAAGGGATGGTGCCCTTGCATTGTGAGCAATGAGACTGCCTAGAAATTGCACCTCAACATTGTATAACATTTCATTAAAAAGTATTGATCAATTGATTAGTGATAGACATTAATGTTTGTTATACATGCAAAGCCCCATTCCTGAATTTCAAGAAATGCAAAATCAGACATTTGAACAAATTCAACTTCAAGAAGTAAAATTCGACCAGACAAGAGGAACAAATGTAAACATATAATGGCCTCAACATGTGGCAGATCAACAGAGCAATCAGCTCACCTTTAACCAGCTAAATCATGACTATTGCATACACACAAAGGATTGAATGATACCAGATATCCATACAGGCAATATGTAAAATCATACTTACATATTTGTTTAGACTTGTGTTATAGAACTGCTGAATCTTGTTCCGTTTGATTTTTTTCTTCGAGAATGAACTAGAGCACTGCCCCATGTTGTTGAGTTAGAAAAATAAAGAGCTTTATACTGAGTCATACAATGTTAATTCGTTTAAGTCATTGTGTTCACGGTATCCACACTGGAGTGTCTAGTATGAGAGTTATAAAATATACCACCAAGCATACTGACAATGAAGTCGATCCAGCTTCAGCACCAACAAGTTTTAAATATGTCATGTAAAATCTTCATATATTGATTTGATGATAAATACATTGAGACATATACTGTACAGGTAGGTGGAATTCCTCTGTACATCAAAGGCTATTGTAGTCAGTAGCGGTCGATTTGATCTCGTTCCACCAGTCGATCAGTTTCTAGGTAGATATATGGTACCTAAAGTGGACCAGAATCCAATTAACATTGTCTGATGATAAGCTAGAATCACCAATATGTACAGACACTTTGAACAATGGCATTCACCTTTATCTTGCAGCAATGCATTCAATGATCATTCCAATTAAAGGTGGTCAATATTAGTATCATCATTTGTCCGTTCCTCAAAATTCATCAAAGAAAATATTCTATTCTAACTTCAGGCTATACAAACGGTTTAGTTCTGCTTGTCTGGACGACCACGCAGGTGAAATATATCTTCAGACTAATAATCAATGATTTCAAGATAAAGTCCTAAACAGCGATCTGAAAAATTCACAAAAAACCTTTCTTCTTAACGACAAACCCAGACTGTCCTTGTTTCCTATAGCCAAGAAAATTTTACCAGGGTTATAAATACTAAAGAAATCTTCAGAAAATCCAGAATAGGTGATACATAAAGTGTTTTACTGCATACCACTAAACAATATAACCTGTTGATAAACACTGATATCTACTGTGAATGTTATTTCTTACATCCTTATCTATCAGTGACTTGACAAACAGTACTTGTCACCAAAGGACAAATAGAATCTGAACACAAATGAAACTAATATAGAGTCCATCCAGTAGTGATCATGCATTCAAATCCAGCGGTCAAGAGGTACTTTCGACGTCCACTATATCTTGCAGGTGCCCTATTCCCTATTTACAAATTTCCTGCTGTGTTGTTAGGAATTCTCCTCCATTTGTCTTCAAATCCAGACCACTTCATCACTTTAAGCTGATAAGCCGACGGTCACATTAGATGGTCAAGTGTAGCTAATTCCGCTATAATGGGAGTACTTGGATACTGATTGGTCACTTAAGCCCACACTACAATGGTCAGCTGTTGATTATTTGTCATCCCGTTACTTGACGCTGATGATCACAAATAATTGTGTAATAACTGATTCAATAGCATCAATGAAGGTCAGTTTGAATCAGTATTGTGTCGTAATATGACATGAAACAC